TCAGCCTTCCTGCTCCTCTGATGCTGCTTGGCCTGCTGTGTTCATCCAGCTCCACACCTTGTTATCTCTAGGCCAGTGGTATGTTAAGCTTCATTGCAAGTGGGTTTGCGTAGAGGAGCAAGGAAGTGTTACTGGAGCTGTACATGGAATGGGTGAGACCACACCGAGAGTATTATGTGCAATATGACTGTCCTTACGCAAGGAAGCATCTACTTGTGTTGAAGGGAGTTCAGCATGGGCTTGCCATGGATTCTTGCAATGGCAGCATTACCCTTATGAGGAGAGATTGGGTCAACTGGGCCTGGATTCACTGGAGTTTAGAAGAATGAGGGGGGGATCTGATTGAAACATGTTAAATTCTGACAAGGCTGGATAGATTGGACACAGGGATTATGCTCCCCCTGGCCGAGGGGTCCAGAACAAGGGACTGCAGTCTTAGGATACGCAGTACGCCATTTTGCACTGAAATGAGGAGAGGTTTCTTAACTCAGGGTGATGAACCTGTGGGTTTCTTTACCACAGAAGGCTGTGGAGCCATGTTTATGAAAGAAATACATTTCTAGCAATCTTAAAGGAGAGAGGAGGAGTATGGCATTGAGATAAACGACTAGCCATGATCATGTTAAATCTTGGAGTGGGCACAAATGGCCTACTATCAGAGAAGTTGAGGATTATCAAATCAGTCATGATCTTACTGAATGGTGTAGCAAACTCAATGAGCTGAATGGCCTGCTTCTACCCCTAAGTATTCTGGTCTACTGCTTCCAATTTCTATGATTCCACCAGCCCTCAAGCATTTCATTAATTCTTGGGATGTGGTCATCATTGGAAAGATTTATTACCATCTGAGTGGCCTTGAGCAGGTGATGATGGGTCCACTGTGTTGTATCATTGAGTTTCCTGTGGTAAGTTAACTGATTAACACAGGTTGTAACATCCTTATTTGCCACCCGACTGAGATCAGCGAAATTCACCAGAGGCCCAGTCTGCACTGGAAACCTTTCTCATCTCCACAGCCAAACGCTTTTAATTGTAGCACTCCGTTTTGCTCTTGTTAAGTTGAGTACATATATCGGATTTTTTAACACAAAGGGTTGTCCTGGCTTCTCATGCCCATCTGCAATGGGAGCACGACAGCCTTATTTTCCCAGGTCCTGGAGCACAGATATCAGGATCGAGATGCAGGGTTGCCTTGCAAACACAAGTTCAGGAAGCACGTCAACCAAAGATGACCACAAGCCATCACAAGACAGTCAAATCATTAAAACGGAGGGGGGTGGGGGGAAGGTGTCACCTCATTGACTTAGTGCCAAGGCTTAGGGTTCAATGTTCTTCAGACAGGCCCAATAGCCCATCTAGCAACAAATAACACAAGCTAATCTGTTGGTGAGTGTGCTTGCTAGCTGTTTGGCAGAGTTGCCTGCTCCTGCTCTGGGAGATGACTCTCCTTGCCATCTTCTTGAGCTATGATCAAGCTCTGTCCTTCCGCCAAGGACTCAGGAATTGGCAGTGATGCCTCCTCACTCAGCTGCTCTCTACATTGCCAGCTGGTTTCCTGGAAGATTGCAGCAGCACCATTAACCTCTTCAAAGCCACGGCGTTTTGGTTGCTTGAGCTGTGGAAACATTAATGTTAATTCTTATGAGTGATTCCCAGCATTACTGCATTCAAAATGAGTAATGACATGAAACCTACTTCTTCCAGCAAGCTTTTGGTCATCTGGAATAACCTCCTCTGGCTTTGTGTCGGATATTTCCTGATTACATTCCTGCTTTACAAATGCAAAGTTTATAAGGTTGTTTATTTTTAAGACTGTCTCTTATATTTAGGACAAAAATAGTGGAATTAAGGGAGTCAAGTGTCCAACTCTGAATTCTGCCTGACAACAAGTTGAAGTGTTTGTTTGTTAAAGGTTAGAAAGGGGACCCAGGTAGTCTTATTTGGAAGATATGCAACATTCACACCTGGTAAACAGAGACCAGAGCAACTGTGCTGGCAGAGGATAGACTATTAGTCTCCAGGTGTAACATGGAGGTGTTAGGTATGTCAGATGTGTGGACTATTATACTTTAAACCGTCTATTTAGAGTCATACAGCTGTACAGCACAGAAACAAACCCTCCAGTCCAACTCATCCATGCCGACCAGATATCCTAAATTAATCTAGTCCCATTTGCCAGCATTTGGCCCATATCCCTGTAAACTCTTCCTTTTCATATGCCCATCCAGATGCCTTTTAAATATAATTGTACCAGCCTCCACTATTTCCTCTGGCAGCTCATTCCGTACACGCACCACCCTCCATGTGAAAAAGTTGCCCCTTGGGTCCCTTTTAAATCCTTCGCCTATCACCTCAAACCTATGCCCTCGAGATCTGGAACAAAAACAAAGTTGCTGGAAAAGCTCAGCAGGTCTGGCAGCATCTGTGAAGGAATAAACAGAGTTAATGTTTTGGGTCCGGTGACCCGTCAACAAAAATAAAGTTGCTGGAAAAGCTCAGCAGGTCTCATGTTGAAGGATCACCAAACCCGAAACGTTAACTCTGTTTTTTCCTTCACAGATGCTGGCAGATCTGCTGAGCTTTTCCAGCAACTTTGGTTGCGTTCCTGATTTACTGCATCCGCAGTTCTTTCGGTTTTTATTCCCTCTAGTTTTGGACTCACCAACCCTATGAAAAAGACCTTGGCTATTCACCACATCCATGCCCCTCACGATTTTATAAACCTCTATAAGGTCACCCTCAGCCTCCAATGCTCCACGGAAAATAGCCCCAGTCTATTCAGACTCTCCCTATAGCTCAAACCTTCTGACCCTGGCAACATCCTTTAATATTCAAGATAGAACAGATTGGAGGTATAGACTTCTATCTGGATACAGAGCCCATTCGAGGTAGGCTTTGATTCCATAGCAAGCCATCGTATATCAGCTTACAAACTGCTTAAGATATCCCTGAACCATTACACGGACAGGTCAGGCTGTAAGATCTTGAGTGACAGAGAGAAACAACATAAATGCTGCCAGGTTTTCCCTGGAAGAAGGAGCAATTTCCAGCATACCCATCAATGTGGAAGCCAATTTGGAGATTAGAACTTGTCTGTTGTAAAAATGAAATGGAGATGAGCAGCCAGGTGCTAATGATAGCTTTGGACTGTTTCAGGGAGAACAAAATGTCCACTTAAGGAACAGAATAAAATATAACTGGTCTTTTAAAAAATTGAACGAGGAATATTTTCTTAAATTTACAGTATAAATTGCCAAGTGAATAGTGTTTAGCCACTGTTCCTTTTCATTATTTATTACATTAGAAGTTTTAAACATTGTCATGTAACCCTTCCAATCAGTAACCAGAAATTCAAGCATTTTTTTAAAGTTCAGTTTCTATGAGAACTGTAACACGAAGTGCATGGCATACTTTACAGTGTTAAAGGTGATATATGAATGCAAATTATTGTTCATGATATATAAGCATATCAGCTCTATGAAGGGTGGGGTGGGGGGTTAATGGGGCAATGTTAATCTATCCTCAGCTACAACATCAGCTAAAAAAATCAACCAGAATAAGGAAGGTATTATAAATGACAAGTATAATGTTATATTGTCATGTTGCTGAACCAGCCAATTAGAGGTCTGGACTATTAAATGCAGAGAAGGTGAGCTCAAATTCCACCATGGCAGTTTGAGAATTTTCATTACATTTTAACAGCTGAGAATATAAAGCTTGCATCGATAAAAGTGCATGTGGGGGTAACGGTTGTGTACTGATAATGTCACACAGTCCAGAGACCCAAGCTAATGCTCAGGGAACAAGTGTGCAATACCCATGGCTGATGGTGGGATTTAAAAATTCAATGAATAAATCAGCTATCTCCTCATTTACCTACCCCTTCCAGATCTCTTTCTCGCTCTCTCTCTTTTCTCTGGGCTCTGTCTCCACCTATCATCTCACCTCTGCCTTCTCCCATTTTGGCTTCAGCATAAATAACACATTTTCCCAGCCACTAATAATTCTGATGAAGAGCCACTGGACCCAAAATGTTAACTCTGTTTTCTTCTCACAGATGCTGCCAGACCTGCTGAGTTTCTGCATCAATTTCTGTTTTTTGTTTCAGATCTGCAGCAGCTGCAGTTCTTTGTTTCATAATAATTGAATTTAAAAAAAAACTCACCCTAGTAATTGTGACCAATAAGTGTGGTCAATTATTGTAAAACCCATCTAGACACTAATGATGTTTCAGGAAATCCCTACCTGATCTTGCATGTGACTCCAGGCCCTCAGTTATGTGACTGACTCTTAACTTCGTCTGAAATAGCCTAGTAAGCTATTCAATTCAAAACCAATTAGACAGGCAACAAATGCTGTCCTTGCCAGCCATAGTCAGATCAAAGAATTTTATAATAGCTGTCAACTTGATTTGTTTTGATTTATTATTGTCACATGAACCTGGCTACAATGAAAAGTTTTGTTTTGCATGCAGTGCAGATCATACCATACAAAGTGCTTTGGGTAATAGAACAGAGCGAGGAATATAATGTTACGGCTGCAGAGAAGGTGCACAAAGAGTGAGATCAACATTAAGTTTAAAATTTGGGAAGTCCATTCAGAAGTTTAATAACAGCGGGGAAGAGGCTGTTCTTGAATCTGTCCGTACGTGTGTTTAAGCTTTTGTATCAAATGCCCGACAGAAGAGATTATGACCGGGCTTGCAGAGGTCTTTGATTATTCTAGAACTTATTCTAAAAGCCCATATGATTCTCTGTTTTACTTTAAGGAATGACAGCTGTTATCCTTACCCAATCTGACCTATATATGACTGCAATTCCAAACAATCCATGATTGCCCATCATTAGCCCTATGAACAGGCCAAGCAAGTTACTCAAGTATATCAAGGTACTGCCAGCAACACTAGATAAACACCCAGCCCCACCTTCTCGGGGAAGCTGAGATGGCAGTAAATGCCTTCATTGTGACCACACCCTGAGAAAGAATTGATCTTAAATGCCTACTTTATTATCTTGGCCAACACTTCAATACCTGTAGGTGGAGACTGGGGTAGTCCCATCAGAAATTTCAGGTCAAACATTGTTCTATTTCATCAAGTGAAATATACAAACTGGAAAATTATGCCAGGCTAACTTGCACAAATCCCTCCTGTTTAACTTACTGTTCAGTTAAAACAATTTTAATAATTAACCCTCTGCTACAACACAATAGTCTGTCTCCTCAATAGCCAATGAATATCACTTACTAGACTCTGCCACCTTGCAGCTCCAAATTCAGCTTCTGTTCAACAAACATGCCCACTGTAGCAGGCAATGGGAACGAGGGGCAGGAGACCAGGCAGGGACTGTTTGTCCTGCACTGCCCAGAAACAGTGAGAAGATAGGCAGGCATTCCCGAACTCAGCACAGGCCAAGGATCAAACCGGTTGCCTTTTTCTTTCAGATTTTTCAAGTTGTCATTTGTTATTTTAAAATAAGGGCATGTGTTCACTGCTGTCTCTGAAACTAAATAGAATCTCTGCAAGATGATTCAAATGCTTATATCAATCATTAATCATTAGTAGTTGCATAACATGACGACCAGTTGCGTATGGCAATCATCACCATGACCTACATACTGGCCTCAAACAGGTTGATTTGGTCAGGCATATTTACAAAGCTGTTGATCCTTCTTACACACTGAAAGGATTTTCTTGTGAGTTGTAGCATCATACTTCTTTTTCTGTAGCCAATAAATATCAGGAAATGATCCGTCTAATTACTAAATTAGTTACTTTCACCAAGTGGATAAAACTCCCAATATCTATAAAATCAATCAATCTCAGACGGGTGCTCCGGTTTCCTCCCACAGTCCGAAGATGTGCAGGCTAGGTGGATTGGCCATGCTAAATTGCCCAAAGTGTTCAGGGAGGTGTAGATTAGGTGGATTATGGGGGGATGGGTTTGGGTGGGTGCTATAAGGGTTGGTGTGGACTTGTTGGGCCAAAAGGCCTGTTTCCACATTGTAGGGATTCTATTCTATGATCTATGGACCACAGTTGTAGACTGCTGTTAGTTCCAAGGAAGGGAGAAAATAGAAGGCCTCCAGCTCTCGACCACTCCCCTATCACCTCCAGGAGGAGAGCACACATGTTTGGCAAAGACAGGATACGTCTCAGGTGTTCGGATCCCCCACTGCCAAACAGTCGGCTCACACACCAGCCTTGATGTTTAAGATCTGAACTGTTTTAAGTGGGTCAATGCTGGTTTCAAAACCTGCTGTAGCTGACCCACGTGAGCAGTGATCATTTGGGTGAGAGGCATTTAAGTCAACCTTTAAATCCTGCCCCCCTCCAGCATCGCCAGCGCTGCCTCTGTGATAATCCAGTCGTGATTCATATCTCATTCCGCAACTGATAAAAGCAGAACCTGTACTTTGCACAATGTGTGTGTTTGTGATTTATTTGTGGTTTTCTGGGCGTTGCTGGTGAGACCAGCTTTAGTTGCCCATCCCTGATTCCACATCACAGGCATGGTGGGGATCCTTCTTAAATTATTACAGCTCTTGGGTGTAGAAACACCCACAGTGCTTTTAGGGAGGAAGTTCCTGAATTTTCCAGTGACAGTAAAGGGTTAGGGATAGTGTTCTTGGAATGGTATGTGATTCAGAGGGAAATTTACAGGTGGCAGTAGTCCCTTATATCTGCTGTTCTTGTCCTTCTATGCAGTAAACATTGCAAGTTTGAAGGCTGTTATTGGAAGAGCCTTGATGTTTTTCTGCAATGCATGTTATAAATGGAACTCACTGCTGCTGGTGTGCACGGACGCTTAAAGTAGTGAATGGATAGTCAGGCAGGCTGCTTTATATCGGCTGGTGTCAAGGTTCATGAGTGTTGTCAGACCTGCACCTATCCAGGCAAACTGGGGAGTATTCCATTACAGTCCCTGACCTGTGCCTTGTAGGTGAGTTACTCACTGCAGAATACCCAGCCTCTAGTGGCAAATCCAGTTTATTTTCTGCCCTACTTGTCGATTCAGCAATAATAACGCCACTGATCATCAAGGTAAGATGGTTAGGTTCCCCCTTGGCAATCGATGACAGCTATCAGTACTGAACTGAGCTTAGTGACTGAAATTAAAACCTTCCAGCAGCTATTGTGGGATTTGAACCTGTGGCATTACCATTACATAATTGTCTCCCATTTGAATCACGTGTATATATGTACTTTTTTTTTCTTTATTCATTCACGGGATGAGGGCGTCACTGTCTAGGCCAGCATTTATTGCCCATTCCTAATTGCCCACAGGGCTGTTAAGAGTCAACCACATTGCTGTAGGTCTGGAGTCACGTGTAGGCCAGACCAGGTACGGATGGACATTAGTGAACCAGATGGGTTTTTCCCGACAATCAACAATGGATTCGCGGTCATCATTAGATTCTTAATTCCAGATATTTATCGAGTTCAAATTCCACCATCTGCCAAGGCAGGATTCGAAACTGGGTCCCCAGAACATTATGTGGGTCTCTGGATTATCAGTCCAGCGATAAAACCACTAGACCATCACCTTGCATTCATATAGCAACTTTAGCATAGTAAATAGACCCAGAGCTCTTTACAGGAACGTTGTCAGGTAGACTTTGACACTAAGTTACATAAGGAAATCTTAGAACAGGTGATCAAAACCATGGTCAAAGAGGTAGGTTTTAATGAACATCTTAAAGAAGGAGAAAGAAGTTAACACACAAAGAATTCTATAGAGAATGTCCAGAGTTCAAGGCCCAGGCAAAAAAGGTGCAGCCGTCAGTGACAGTATGATGAAGGATAAAGAACTGAAGGCTGTAGGGTGAAAGTGTCAACAAAAATGGAGAAAAGCAAGGCCAAGGAGGAAGCTGAAAACTAGAATGAGGATTTTACAACTGAGCTGCCACTGGGCTGAAGCATAGGCAGCAAAACGTGTCTGGATCAATGGGTGAACAGGACTTAGCAAGAGTTAGGAATATGAACAGCAGAGTTTTGGATGACCTCAAGTTTACAGGTGGGAGATTGGTCAGGAATAGTGGAGTGAACATAGGCACAGATTAGAATAGGCATGGATGAGGGATTCGGCAGCAGATTAAGTGAGGCTGGAGACCTGGAATTCGACAATCTTAGTGATGGAGAAGATAATGGTTGGAAGCTCAGCTTAAGGTCAGACAGGAAGCCAGAACTGCAAAAGGTTTGTTTCAGCCTGAGACAGAAAGAGAGACTGGATAGATTTATATGTTGTAATCAGAATACCGATAATAGTATTACTTACCCGCGTGTGGAATCGGCTCAACATTTCCTTCAGGTGATCTACAAAGGAAAAGCAGAGTCATTAACTAAAGAAATGAATTGGAAATAGTAATTAGTTGTAGTTGTGTATTTTACACAATGTCCAAACATAATCAGCAGCCTGTGATGGAAAGGAGTTACAGATCTCCGTCCTGAAAGATGCAACAATGAACCAAATCATTAGGACAGTTCGAGATTTGATCTCTTGTCTGTGCTGTTCTCAGAGCAAGTGAGGGCACACAACTTGTTTCTTACACCGAAAGAGAATGGGGGGGTTGCCACTCCCAAATTCCAACCATGAAAGTCCATTGGAAACCACAAGAGTCATTCTCAGCTTCAAGCAAGATTGGGAGTCTGACGAGCCAACCCACTTTGTTCACATTCAAACCCAGGTCCAAAATTTTAGAATCATAGAATCCCTACAAGTGTGGAAGCAGGCCATTCAGCCCATCGAGTCCACACCGACTCTCTGAAGAGCATCCCACCCAGTTCCACCCCCTACCCTATCTCTGCATTTCCCAACCTAGACACTATTGGCAATTTAGCCTGGCCAATCTACCTAACCTGCACATCTTTGGACTGTGGGAGGAAACTGACGCAGACACAGGGAGAATGTTTAAAAACTCCACACAGACAGTCGCCTGAGGCTGGAATCGAACCTGCGTACCTGGCGCTGTGAGGCAGCAGTACTAGCCACTGAACCACCATGCTGCTCATTTTCCAAGCCTCCATTGTCCGGTTTCTAGTCGGGGGTGGGGGGGGGCATGTAAAATGCAGCAGGAGTCTGTCCCTCCTCCCACCTAGCCACCTCTCCCCAATATGTCAGAAGGCATATCCTAAATTGAAGTTTACTTCTCCCATGCCCTAAATGAAGAGAAGTAATTGCAAATGAATTACGTCAACAAGTCACTGAAATGATTCTTTGCCATTCTGACTCAATGCACTGAAATTTGGGCCGACAGTGGCTCAGACTAATTTGAAGAGGGCCAATATTGCAGTAGAGTTTACCATATCTATGATAACCCAACAATAGTCACAAGGGTAGGTGGCAGTGGGCACCTGCCCTCACCCCTATTGACGCCCTAAACAGCCAGTCATTGGGTGAGTGGCAGGAGGTCAGGGGAGGACACATGGCAGGTATTCCTGCTCGGAGCTCAGGCAGGAAACGCAGGCTTGTGGCCTGCTACAACACCGGCCCCTTTTCCCAACCTTTAACTGGGGCCTTTCCAACAAGTCCCTCAACAGACCCCACAACCACCACCTCACTTAGGGGCTCCCTACTTGTCCCCCACTGCAAGACCAGTTGGAATCATCCTTTTCTCTGGATGACCGATACTTAAAATCTGGGAACTAGGAATTGGCTGACAGCTTCCTGAGGTCCTGAGTGAGGAGCAAGTCCAGTCTCCATCCTCTTAACACTCTACAGAACATTAAACGGCTGTGGGATGGCTTAGAAACCCCCACCAGAATAATCCTGCCCAAGGAATGGGCACTTTCATGGATAGAGGTCTGATTAGCCAGAGAATCACTGTGAAACAATTAAATATGGATTTATTAAATCACCAGAGATTTCCTCGTCTATAAAAACTACACCAGCAAAACACGCAAAGCAAGTTTTCTATCAGATGTGTAACTTCTAAAGATGAGTGCAGCAATATTTTTGGATCCAAACTCATCGCTCTTTGTTTAAAATACAGATTGTAGAATGTTTGTCATTTTCTCAAGGCCAACACTCCCTTGGCAGACTCCTTTTGGCTTTCAGCAACATTTTATTCACACAGCGTGATGTTATTGTCTGGAACATGCTGCTTGAACATTTGAGAGAAGCAGATTCAATAGCAACTTTCAAAACAGAAACAGATTCGTCCTTGAAGGCAAAACAATTATTGCGCTGTGTGAAAGAGCAAGGTAAAGGAAGTAATTGGATAACCTGACAAAGAGCCAGCAACCAGACAGTGGGTGAAATGACCTCCCTCTGCACAAATCATAAATTTGCATTTATATTCCATCACAAGAGTGCACTCAAACAAAGCCAAAGAAGGGGATAAAAGCAGTGATGATAAAAGGCTTTCCGAAAGAACAGAGTCTTTGAGGCAGCATGGCGGCTCAGTGGTTAGCACTGCTGCCTCACAGCACCAGGGACCTGGGTTCAATCCCACCCTCGGGCGACTGTCTGTGTGGAGTTTGCACATTCTCCCCGTGTCTGCGTGGGTTTCCTCCGGGTGCTCCGGTTTCTTCCCACAGTCCAGAAATATGCATGTTTGGTGGATTGGCCATGGGAAATGCAGGAATACAGTAGGGGGTGGGTCTGGGTGGGATGCTCTTTAGAGGGTGCGAACTCACTGGGCAAAATGGCCTGCTTCCACACTGTAGGGATTCTATGAAATAGGATAAAGAGGCAGTCTGGTTTACAGAGTGGATTAAGCAGCACAGGGATCAAGTGACCAAAGATGTGACTCTCTTTTCATTCTCTACAGTCAAGATCTGCATTGTATAAGTAATAATCATTCACTCTTGCTTTGTACGAGCATCATGCAATGAAAGAGGTCAGAAGGTTCACCAAGCAATGACTACAGTGCGGATCTTAGATCTAAAATTTCTGAACAGAGAGAAAACAAGGTGATTGGCATTCTCTGATTAATCTGAAAGTATCTGTGCATTACACACTGTTGGAGAAAGTGCTGTGAAACATCATTCAGCCTGCCATTATAACAATGGGGAAGAGTTTAATCCTTACCTCGGTGGTAGACAATGACAGCAACTAAAGCTACCAGTGTGGCTGTGACTATAACGCTGATCACAATCGTTGGAGTCTCGTCAGGGACTGGTGTAGGCCAAGGCTTACCTGGATAAAAACAGGCACCTGGTCATTCGGAGCTAACAAAAGACTCTTTGTTTTTCTCTGGTTTATTTAGTTAAAATGGAATTTGAAACAAACAGCAACAGTTTTAAAGCAGACAAATACATGGATAATGCCAGAAAGCCCCAGCATCACCTCATTCCCAGCAGCATTGCCAGTGGCAACAAAGTAAAGATTCAGTCCATACTTTATAAACACCGTGAAACACGAAGACATCCAATTGTACTGATAATTTTAATGGTTAGTTAGAAATAGTTTCAAGCGATACCAAGCCATTAAAGTAGGGAATATGGATATTACCCTAATCATTTGTACTTTGCTTCTCATAGAATCCGTACAGTGTGGAAGCAGGCCATTGAGCCTATCAAATCCATACTGACCCTCCGAACAGCATCCCACCCAGACCCACTCCCCTATGCTATCCCGGTAACCCTGCATTTGCTAACCCACCTAGCCTGCACATCCCTGGACACTACAGGCAATTTAGCATGGCCGATCCACCTACCCTGCACATCTTTGGACTGTGTGAGGAAACCGGAGCACCCGGTGGAGAACTATGCAGACATGAGGAAACTCATGACACATGCAAACTCCACACACAGTCACCTGAGGCTGGAATCGAAGCGGAATCCCTGGTGCTGTGAAGCAGTGGTGCTAACCACTGAGCCACTCTGCCACCCTGCCACCCTATATTCTGTCCCTTCCTTCTGAAGGTAGCTCTAACATCCCCAGCTCCATGCAGAATAGAATCATGGAATGGTAACAGCACCAAAGGAAACCATTTGGCCCTTTGCAGTTGTACTGTCCATCTGAAGGAGAATTTCTTCTAAACCACTCCTTTACCTTTTCCCTGTAGCCCTGCATCTTTTTCCTTTCACATAATGATTGCATTTCCTTTGAAAGCCTTAAATGACCCTGCCTCCATCACCCACTTAGGCAGTGCATTTCAGATGCTAACCATTCAAGGTAGCAAAATGCTTTTCCTCATACTGCCATGGCTTACGTTAAATCTGTGCCCTCTGGTTCTCTATCCTTCCACCAATCAGAACACTTTCTACCTCCTCTATCCCAAACCCTCACAATTTTGCGCACCATATCGAACTTCATCTCAGTCTTTCATTTTAACTTAAGTTTCTCACACCTTGAACCATGAATCTCTTCTGCACCCTGTTCAACATTTCACACCTTTCCCAAAGTGTGTTGTCCAGAACTAGACACCAGGTGAGGCTAAACTGATTTTTTTTGTTTTTAGTAGAGGTTAAGTATAACTTCCTTCTTTTGTACTCTGAGCCCCTTCTGAACAATGCCCAGGATGCCAGATGCTCTATTAACCATTCTCTTAACCTGTTCTGCCATGTTTAATGGTTTATCCAAAACTCACACTCTGTGCTCTCTTTCAAATTGTGCCCTGATGTGATATTTAGGTCTTCCATTTGTACATCCTCTCCATCTAATATCAGTGATGCCCATATCCAGGAATGAAGCAAATGCTGTCTTGACAGGTAAGATGGATTAAAAGGCATATTTCTTATGAAACCAGTGTACTTCATCTAATGCAGTGAAGGGACAGCGTCCATTTGGCAACCAGTTTTCCTGAGAATCTTCCTTTAAAGACTCACATTGGAATTTGTTGGGACCTTCTGTGTTCCAAAGTACTCTGGGTTCAACCCTGCAATTTCTTCTTCACCTATGCTCCAGCTCAAACTGCTCTTGCATCCAGCACCAACCATAATTTAAACTAAATTTAACCTTAATCAGTCTGTCTGTTTCTCCTGCTTGTGTACACAAGGATCAAGGTCAGTAATTTACATCAGGAATGGCATGAGTCCTAACACTGAGCCCTAGGAAACTGCACTATAAACCTGTCTCCTTACCAAAAACACACTATTTACCACAACTCTCTATTTCTTCCCACTCGGCCAACTTGTATCCATATTGCTACTGTGGGTTTTATTCCATAAGCTTTATCTTTGTTTACCATCTGTCGAGTGGCACTTTATCAAATGTCTTTTGGAAGTCCACCACATGAACAGCATTACCCTCATGAAATTTTTCTGTTATTTCACCAAAACACTCAAGCAAGTTAGTTAAATAAATACAGGCTTCCCTTAGATTTCCTGAGTTAATCCGCATTTGTTTACTGTTGTTTAATTTCACCACAAATGATCAATTCTAAAAGTATTCTAAGTCAGACTGACTGACTGGGCTTCTCTTTAGTGGCCTTTTTTTGAATGAGGGTCTCTTGTACTGCAGGATAGAATCCCTACAGTGTGGAAACAGGCCATGCAGCCCAACAAGTCCATATAAACTCTCCGAAGAGGATCCCACCCAGACTCACCCATCTACCCTATCCCTGCATTTCCCACGGCTAATCCACCTGCCCTACCCATCCCTAGACACTATGGACAATTTAACATGGCCAATCCACCTAGCCTACACATCTTTGGCCTGCGGGAGGAAACCGGAGCACCCGGAGGAAACCCACACAGACACGGGGAGAATGTGCAAACTCCACACAGGCAGTCACCCGAGGGTGGAATTGAACCCGGGTCCCTGGTGCTGTGAAGCAGCAGTGCTAACCACTGAGCCACCGTGCCACCATATGTACCAGCATGATATCCCCATTGCTCTCAATTACATAAATGTGCGGCTGTGGCATTAGCTGCTGCTCGAGTTGCAGTGGCTGATGATATTTCTTGCACATATAGTTGTACAGCATCTAAGTAGATCCTGAAGTTCCCACATGGAACAGGATGTGCACCCCAGGGATAAGAGCTACCCTGTCATTCCACGACATAAACCACCCTCAGCAGTGACATTCTAGTTCCTTAAACCCATTTACATATGTGCTTCCAATTCTTTCCTCTTTAACTCGTTTCAGTAGCTATCCAGCAGCAATGGCTTAAAACAAACTGCAGTACAAGACGATCACACTATGTGAAATATGATGCGTTACATGTATAATCATAAAGACAAAATCTCAGTGAGATATTACTAATAAACGGACTAATGGTATTGCCCTGACTATGCACTGTTGTATAATCATCAGTCAGGCTCTCTCCATGGATGTTGCCTGACCCACTGTGATTCCCAGCAGTTTTTGTTTTCAGTACAGATTCCAGCATCTGCAGTAATTTGCTCCTTCCTAGTCAGTTTCAGGCTGCTGGTCACCACTCACAGTCTCTTAGCGCAACATGTATAGAATTCAGGCGAGAACAATACTGTACATGATTATGATGTCTCTTCCACAACCAGTTTGCTGGTCAATCATTGTCTACAAGAGCAGTGAAATGGCTGAGGTAACATAACATTTGGGAGGAAATATTTTGTGTCAGTATTTTGAAGGACATGGAAGCTAGGGAACATGGGGAGCTAAATCGAGATGTCAGATTATAACCTGCAACATTGGGCCAATTAACCAATTTTACCCTAAACCGCATTCTGAAGAAAGGGTCACCAGACTCGAAACATTAACTCTGTTTCTCTTTCCACAGATGCTGCCAGACCTGCTGAGTTTCTCCAGTAATTTCTATTAATGTAATGGTGCCTGTTAAATGGGAGGATATTTCTGGGAGATTGTCCAGTGAAGTTATTTGGGTGGAACTTAAAAATAAGAAAGAGATGATCACCTTGTTGAGATTGTATTATAGACACCTCCAATAGTCAGTGGGAAAGTGAGAAACAAATATGTAAGGAGATCTCGGATATCTGTAAGAATAATAGGGTTGTAATGGTAGGGGATTTTGACTTTCCAAACATAGAGTAGGACTGTCATAGTGTTAAGCGTTTGGTTGGGGAGGAACTTTTTAAGTGTGTACAGGAGAATTTTCTTATTCAATATGTGGATGTACCTACTAGAGAAGGAACAACACCTGACCTTCTGCTGGGAAATAAGGCAGGGTAAGTGACTGAGGTGTCGGTGGGGGAGAATTTTGGGGCAAGCGATCATAATTCTATTAGTTTTAAAATAGTTATGGAAGAATACAACTGATGAAAAAGTTAAATTCTAAATTGGAGCAAGGCCAATTTTGACGATATTAGTTAGGAACTTTCAAAAGTTGATTGTGAGAGGCTATTGGCAGGTAAAGGTACGGTTGGGAAGTGGGAGACCTTTAAGTATGAGGTAATGAAAGTTCAGAGGCAATATGTTCCTGTCCATGTGAACAGCAAAGCTGGTGGGTGTAAGGAATGCTGAATGACTACAGAAATTGAGGCTCTAGTCAAGAAAAAGGAGGAGGCATATATCAGGTATAGACAACTGGGTTAGAGTGAATCCCTAGAACAGTATAAGGGCAATAGGAGTATACTTAAAAGGGAAATCATGCAGACAGACAGGGGACATAAGATAGCTTTGGCAAATACATTAAGGAGAATCCAAAGAGTTTCTATGATTACATTAAGGGAAAAAGAATAACTAGGGTGGGAATAGGGCCCCTTAAAGATCAACGTGTCCATTTATGTGTGGAATCACAGAAGATGGGCGAGATACTAAATGAATATTTTGCATCAATATTTACTGTGGAGAAGGATATGGAAGCTAGGGAACTTGGGGAAATAAATAGTGATGTCTTGAAAAGAATTTATATTACAGAAGCAGAGGTGCTGGAGGTATTAAAAACACATAAAGGTAGATAAATCCCCGGGACCTGATCAGATGTTTCCCAAACTGGGGTTGAGACTGCTGGGCCCCTTGCTGAGGCATTTGTATCATCAACAGCCATGAATGAGGTGCCAGAAGATTGGACATCAACTAATGTGATGACATTATTTAACAAAGGTAGTAAGAAAAAGCCAGGGAACTATAGACTGGTGAGCCTTACACCAGTGGTGGGTAAGTTGTTGGAGGGGATTCTGAGAGACAGAACATACATGCATTTGGAAAGGCAAGGACTGATCAGCTATAGTCAATATGGTTTTGTGTGTTGAAAATTGTGTCTCACTAACTTGACTGAGTTTTTTTTTTAGAGGTGACAAGGAAGATTTATGAAGGCAGAGTGGTAGACCTTGTCTATGTGGACTTCAGCAAGGCATTTGACAAGGTTAGATCATATGGGATCCGGGGAGACTTAGCCATTTGGATACAACATTAGCTTGAAGGTAGGAGGCAGAGGTGAAGGGTTATTTTTCAGCCTGGAGACTTGTGATCATTGGTGTGCCACAAGTAAAAGTGATGAGTCCACTGCTTTTCATTGTTTATGTAAATGATTTGGATGTGAACATAGGATGTATGGCTATAAGTTTGCAGATGAAACCAAAATTGGAGGTGTAGTGGACAATGAAGAAGATAATCTCAGGGTACAACAGGACATTGATCAGATGGGCCAATGGGCCGAGAAGTGGCAGATGGAGTTTAATTTTTATAAATGTGAGGTGTTGCATTTTGGTAAGGCAAACCTGGGCAGGATTTATACAGTTAATGATAGGGCCCTGGGGAATATTACCAAGTGAAGAGACCTTGGGGTGCAGGTACATAGTTCCTTGAAAATGGAGTTGCAGGTAGACAGGATAGTGAAGAAGACATTTGGCATGCTTGCCTTTATTGGTCCAAACATTTGAGTATACGAATTGGGATGTCATGTTGCAGCTGTACAAGATGTTGCTGAAGCCACCTTTGGAATACTGTGTACAATTCTGTTTGCCCTTCTATAGGAAAGATGTTGTTAAACTTGAGAGGGTGCAGAAAAGATTTACAAGGAGATTGGAAGGTTTGAGTTTGGGGAGAGGTTGAATAGGCTGGGGCTTTTCTCCCTGGAGTATTGGAGACTGTGCAGTGACCTTATAAAGGTTTATAAAATCATAAGGGTTATGGATAGGGTGAATATCCAAGGGTGGGGAGTCCAAAATTAGTGGGCATACATTTAAGAGAGAGGGGAAAGAGTCAAAAGGGACATGAGGGGTGACTTTTTCATGCAGGGGATGGTGAATGTGTGGAACGTGGTTCCACAGGAGGTGGTGGAGGTGGGTACAACTGTAATAATTAAGAGATATCTGGATGGTCACATGAATAGGAAGGGTTTAGAGGGATGTGGGTCAAATACTGGCAAATGGGACTAGATCAGATTGGGCTGAGTTGGATTGAAAAGTCTGTTTCCATGTTATATGACTCTATGGTGATCTTTTGCTAGGAGCTTGAGGTACTTACATTTCACATCAGTCGTTGCATTGCCTGGTTTCAGCTCTCCTCGTGACCCACAACTAAAAGCAAAAGGACACTGATTGTCAGAGAATCAGAGCACAGAAAGTACCAAAGACTGTATATAATCAGAGGTCCCAATGATAAACAGTAAATGTCCCGTTTACTTTGTTCACTGATCCCAATCTACACCAAGGGACACATTTGGAGTTTCAAGGCATCAATTTGATCAGATGGACACCAGTTAGATCCAGCCATCCTAGCTCATCCCCTGTTTAACTGCCCTTTTTTGAGGCAAAAAAATCCTCACAGGCTAGGCTTACGTTTTATACTTTTACTGTAGGCCGTGATCAGACTAATTACATACCCCACAACATAGTCACTTAGTGGGTGAAGGACAATGGCCACTTGGAAACAGCGCCACTTCTAAATCCCCTCCACGTCACAAAATATCACATATTGTTCTTATCATAGTCCTGAAACTTTCTCTCTAACCATGACATGGAGGTGCTGGTGTTGGACTGGGGTGGGCAAGGTCAGGCGTCACACAATACCACATCGTAGTCCAACAAGTTTATCTGAAATCACAAGCTTTCGACACACTGCCCCTTCGTAACTGCACCTGACGAAGGGGCAGCGCTCCGAAAGCTTGTGATCTCAAATAAACGTATTGGACTATAACCTGGTGTCACGTGACTCCTGACCGCTCTCTAACAGTATAATCAGAATACATTCACCACCGGAACAGCAACAGTTTGAGGTTAACAAGTGATGTATTATATATGCACATCTTACTGAGAATGTCTGGGCGGAGTTAAACAGACTGTTTGGAGAGGAGGGAAAAAAAGGCAGAGAACTAATTCCTCTCCAGAGTAATTCCAGGATTTTGAGCAATTTTGTCAGAGGGAGTGACCTATAGGTGCTTAACGTGATCTAGCCAGACTGAGTGTTGGATGGTTAAATCAGTTTTGTGCCAGGTCTGAGCCCCTTAGACCTGACAAAACAAAAGTTGGGACTTAGGAAGAACAATCAACATGGAACAGGGTAAAGATATTGCTCGAGACAAGGCAATCAAACAAGAGAGTCAAAGAATGGTTCAGCATGGATACAGGTACGATGTGACCTGTAGGCAGTTTAAAACTCTGTCCATTTAACACATGGATATTGTCCCACCCCATTCAACCTAAAGTTTCCCACTCCTCCCAGTTAACCTGGGTTACTTACTTTGTCCATTTCCAACACAGCTCTACAGATGACGAGACATTTGAGTAATAACCACTCCTGCATTCCTCACACTCTGTGTCCCTGTGTTTACGATCCGCTGGCAAACAAACCACATGAGCATGTCAGTAAATGACAATGACAGTAATAATACCTCAAACTATACGTTATAAGTCAGAGCTGTTTATAGATGGTTATGTTTTTACCTGGTTTAGCTACTCCAGAGCCAGGCTCACAAATCTTGTCCTCCACACACATTTCACAGTCCTCATTGATACAGTGCTTCCCTATTGCACACAAACACACAGCATCGGTCAAGGTGTTGCCAGGAGACTCGGTCACAAATCCTCCATCTGAAGATCGGAAAAGGCAGATTGTAAGAATGTTCGTGATTGCAGAGCCCTCCCTCTTGGTAACAGTGATAAGACTGTGCACTCAGGGACAGAGACAGGGACTGTGTGCCTGCGTTTTTTTTTTAAGATTTCCATCCTGTTTCGAATCTGGCTCATGGTTTGACTTCAACACTTCCCGTAAATCAAGCAGTGCACTCTTTTATGAAGTGAACACGCTTTGGGAAACTGTTAAATTGCAGGCCCTGTCATGAAAAAGCCCAAACCTGACCTAATCAGCGCAGGCCATTGTTTTATCTTGACCCCAGTAGGGCTAAGGTAATATTTTTTTATTCAGACAGTGTCTCATTGGGAAGCAATGGTATATTTTAAATGACAGATAAAATAATTCTGACAATTTCTTGTTTCAGTAGCTGTGGAGGAAGAAATATTCCTCTTATTTAGTATTCCAACAGAATGCTGAATTTGCATTCTCATAATATAACATCCACTTCAAATACAAAGCTCTCCACATTCTATTGGGGATTTAATTTGGCCACAATCTCACTTCCTTCCTCCCTTCCCCCAAAGAACAGTTTTATATTTACTCACAGTCAATTGTGTTTGAGAGGAAATACTGTCCATTTTGTGTGCAGCACAATTGAATCAGGCCATAAAGCTGGCTCAGGCATTAGGATCACAGACACACATGCAGGAACACACACAGGCACACACAGGAACAAACACATGCACACAGGAACATGTGCACATTCACAGGCATGTACACACAGAAACATGATACACATGAACTTACACACACAGAAACATATGCATGCATTGGTGCACAGACACAAAGAAACATACACACATGCACATACACACACAGGGGAACAGAAACAAACACACGTGCACATACACAAACACACATGCACATACACAGGTGCACACACACTGAGGAACATATGAATACACACAAGCACATACACAGGCACACACACATAGGAACATACATGCACACACACACACACACACACACACACACAAGCACACAGAGGACCAGATGCATACACAAGTACACATACACAGGCATACACACAGAGGAACATGTGCACATAATACAGAAGTCCTCAGTGGCTTTACTTTTCTCTTTTCTTTTTGGTTTGGAACTGTAAGTTCAAGTTAAGAGTTGAACTTTGAACAGCAGGTTTGTTTTAAAGGGGAAGAGAACAAAGACAGATGTTTGCAGTTAGGAACCAGCCTAGAAGATGTTGCAACCTAATTACTGTGCTAAGGGCACCGTGGACAAATTGGCACTGAGCTGTCTCTACACTCCAGGCTGGCAGCAGTTCAATGTCGAACTTGCCAATCAAGGGAGAACTGGTGTTAACCAGTCAACCATAAAGAATGTTGATTTACAAGGATAAAAGGAAAGAGAGAACTGATTCTGATTTATTTTTAGCAGGAGAGTGATTATTTGAAAACTTCTAGAGGTGACTGCTGTGTTTTGACCTTTCTAGTTTTCTATCTGGTTATCGATTTATTGAGTGTTCTGTGAAGAGAGTCTAGTTTGTAAGAAATAAGTACAAATATTTCTAGATAACTGCTGAAACTGTTTGTATTAACTACCGGCATTGAAATCAAGCTGAAGTATTATGTACAATTTTAGTCCTCTTACTCGAGAGGGATGTAGTTGCATTGGAGGCAGTTCAGAAGGCATTCACTAGATTGATTCCAGAGATGAGGAGCTTGTTTTATGAAAAGAGATTGAGCAGTTTAGGCCTATACTGTCTGAAGTTTAGAAGAATAAGAGGATATCTAACTGAGGTATACAAGATGCTAAAGGGGATTGACAAAGTAGATGAAGAGAGGATGTTTCTTCACGTAGGACAATCTGGAACAAGAGGTCATATTAAGGTAAGGGGTAACAGGTTTAAAATAAAGATGAGGAAAAATTACTTCTCTAAAATGGCCATGAATCTGTAGAGTGCAATGGATGCCAGAACATGGAATAAATTTTAAGGAGATAAACAAATTTTTAAATAGTAATGGGTTGAAGGGTTATAGAGAGCAGGCAGGAAAGTGGAGTTGAGGTCAAGATGAGATCAGCCATGATCATACTGAATGGCAGAGCAGGCTCAAGGGGGTGAACTGCCTACTCCTGCTTCTAGTTACAGAGTCATAGAGATGTACAACACTGAAACAGACCCTTCCGTCCAACTTGTCCATGCCAACCAGATATCTCAATTAATCTAGTCCCATTTGCCAGTATTTGGCCCACATCTCTCTAAACCATTCCTATTCATGGGCCCATCCAGATGCCTTTTAAATGTTGTAATTGTACCAACCTCCATCCCTTCTTCTGGCAGCTCATTCCATACACGCACCAATCTCTACATGAAAAAGTTGCCCCTCAGGTCCCCTTTAAATCTTTCCCCTCTCACCTTAAATCTATGCCCTCCAGTTTTGAACTCCCCCACCCTGTGGAAAAGACCTTGTTTATTCACCCGATCCATGCCCCTCATGATTTTATAAACCTCTATTAGGTAATCCCTCAGTGTCCGACACTCCACCCCAGCTTATTCAGCCTTTCCCTTTAGTTCAAACCCTCCAGCCCTGGCAACATCCTTGTAAATCTTTTCTGAACCCTTCCAAGTTTCACAACATCCTTCCTATAGCGGGGAGACCAGAATTGCATGCAGTATTCCAAAAGTAGCCTAACTAATGTCCTGTACAGCTGCAACATGACCTCCCAACTCCTATACTGAATGCGCTGACTAATAAAGGCAAGCGTACCAAATGCCTTGTTCACCATCCTGTCTACCTGCGACTCTACTTTCAAGGAACTATAAACCTGCACCCCAAGGTCTCTTTGTTCGGCAACACTCCCCTGGACCTGACCATCAAATGTATAAGTCCTGCCCTGATTTGCCTTACCAAAATGGAGCACCTCACATTTATCTAAATTAAACTCCATCTGCCACTCCTCAGCCCATTGGCCCATCTGATCAAGCTCCCACTGTACTCTGAGGTAACCTTCTTCACTGTCCACTACACCTCCAATTTTGGTGTCATTTGCAAAGTTACTAACTATACCCGCTATGTTCACATCCAAATCATTTATATAAATGATGAAAAGTCGTATACCTAGCACAGAACCTTGTGGCACACCGCTGGTCACAGGCCTCCAGTCTGAAAATCTACCATCCACCACCACCCTCTGTCCTCTACCTTTGAGCCAGTTCTTTATCCAAATGGCTAGTTCTCCCTGTATTCCATGTGATCTAACCTTGCTAACCAGTCTACCATAAGGAACCTTTGAGGTCACCTTAACCCTATTTGCCAAAGCTATCTCATGTCCCCTTTTTGCCCTGCTGATATCCCTCTTATGTATACTCCTACTGCCTTTATACTGCTCAAAGCTTTCACTCAATGTCCGTTGTCTATGCCTGACATATGCTTCCTTCTTTATCTTGACCAAAACCTCAACTTCTCTAGTCATCCAACATTCCCTACACCTACCAACCTTGCCCTTCACCCTTACAGGAACATACTGTCCCTGGACTCTCGTTATCTCATTTTTGAAGGCGTCCCGATTTCCAGCAGTCCCTTTGCCTGCGAACATCCAATCAACATCTGAATGTTCTTGCCTAATACCGTCAAAATTGGCCTTCCTCCAATTTAGAACTTTAACTTTTAGATCTGGTCTATCCTTTTCCATCACTATTTTAAAACTAATAGAATTATGGTCGTTGACCCCAAAGTGCTCTCCCACTGACACCTCAGTCACCTGCCCCGCCTTATTTCCCAAGAGTAGGTCAAGTTTTGCACCTTCTCTAGCAGGTACATCCACATACTGAATCAGAAAATTTTCTTGTGCACACTTGACAAATTCCTCTCAATCCAAGCCTTTGACACGATGGCAGTCCCAGTCTATGTTTGGAAAGTCAAAATCCCCTACCATAACCACCATATTATTCTTACAGATATCCGAGATCTCCTTACATTTTTGTTTCTCAATTTCCCACTGACTATTGAGGGATCTGTAGTACAATCCCAATAAGGTCATCATCCATTTCTTATTTCTCAGTTACACCCAAATAACTTTCCTGGATGTATTTCTGGGAATATCCGCCCTAAATACAGCCATAATGTTATCCCTAATCATAAACGCCACTCCCCCTGCTCTCTTGCCCTCCCCACTTTCTATCCTTCTCTTAGCATCTATACCATTAAGCTGCCAGTTCTGTCCATCCCTGAGCCACGACTCTGTAATTGCTATGATATTCTCAGTCCCATGTTCGTAACCATGCCCTGACTTCATCTGCTTTACCTGTTAGGCCTCTCGCACTGAAATAAATGCAGTTTAATTTATCAGTCCTACATCGTTCTCTGCTTTCTTCCTGCCTACCCGGACTGTTTGACTTGCTCTTTTTCCCCAGCTGTACCGGTCTCAGACTTAACTCTTTCCTCACTATCTCCCTGGGTCCCATCCCCCGCCCTTACTAATTTAAATCCTCCCAAGCAAATCTCCCCGCCTGTATATTAGTCCCCTTCCAATTCAGTGCAATCTGTCCTTCTTATACAGGTCATTTCTACTGCAGAAGAGATTCCAACAATTCAAAAATGTCAATCCTTCCCTCATGCACCAGCTCCTCAGCCACGTATTCATCCGCTCTATCGTCCTATTCCTACCCTCACTAGTTCGTGGCAACGGGAGTAATCCAGATATTACTACCCTCAAGGACATAATTTTTAAATTCCTGCCTAACTTCCTATATTCTCTCCTCAAGAGTCTCATCCTTTTCTCTTCCTATGTCTAGTTCTTACATTGTTATACAGTTCTCCTTGCCTGTGAACAACCCATCATCCAAAGTTTTCATGAAGGCCTATATCCTTCATTGGAAACTGTTTATTGATTTGGCAAATTAAACAATTCTTTTATTTTCTTTCTAAGTTATCCCTTAACTGTGTCTATCTGTTTATCGGTGTGTGAGTGAGATTTATGATTTTAAAAAATGCACTTTAAATCATAGATATTAATTAGATTAACTTGTTACTTATCTGTGTTCCGCTAAAGTTACATTATTAATAATAAATTGTTAACTTTTGTATAAGTTATAAACTTGGTATCCAACGTCTGTCATTTGTAAAGTCTGGTTAGGAACAAATGGACATTTTTTGCAAATTCAGTGCTAGTGAGACTGATTTGGTTTGACTTGCTTGCACTGAAATGGAACATACACACACAAAGACACATGCACCTATGCAGACACCCACATTAACAGGAATGTGCACATACACAATGCAAATACAGTGGCACACAAGTACAGGAGCACGACTACACACACACAGGCACGCACACAGACACAGAAATGTATGCATACACATGTGCATATACACAGAAGCACACACGCGCGCACATCAGTAAAACCATACCAGAAATGTAAGTAAAAAGAAAACTAGGGAAAACTATTTGAACCTACTTGGATCACAGTACGTATGCCTCTGGCAATGATCAGCCAAGTTCCACTTTGACTGATACAGTCCCTCTTCACAGGGGCTGCATTCAGTGTCTTTCTGTATCGTGCATTTACTGCTCAAAAAGGTACCTGCAAGATAAATACCACAAATACAAAGTTATTGCACAAGGAAGGCAACTCTCAGATCTTGCTCAAATCTTTTCCACAGATCTGAATGGATTTTGACACTGTCTGATGCAAACAAATCTTTGGTCATTTATTTAGAAATAAACCTCTCAGCAGGTTTTTCGATATTAATTCTGTGGCAATTTCAACCTATATAGAAAATATTCAAAATCACTTTATAGAAGAGTGGAAAGGTAACAGAAAGAGACAAAGGATTAAACTGTTATGCCATGGGAAGAAAGAATTTGCATTTAAATTGCATCTTCCTCAAGGTGCCCCAAATGGAAGAGTGTGGAAAGAAGACATTGATATATTGTAAGAAACACTGCGTCTGTTTCAACTGAACTAAATAGTCTCTCACTGTTCCATTTTTCAAGGCAAAGCCCTGAACAATCAAAGTCAACCTGTCTGAATTGAAATTTAAACAAAGCCTGTCAGTTAACTGTCAATCATCATTGACTGTGCATTCTCCAGAGCAACATCTCCACCAATCAGACTGCACTTGCCAACTAAGCAGCATTCTCCACTCTTCAATATAAATGTTGATTTTCCCAGTGAATTGGTATTTTCTTTTTGCAAATTGTCCTGATCAGTGCAACATCAAAAGCTTTGACAACATGTGTCCTTTTACAGCAAGGCACAAGATAATTTGTGTTGATTATTGAGTGACAAAACAAAAGCTAGAATACTGCTCAGTTCTTCTTAATGATGGTGTTGGCTAACCTTTCCATCTACATGAGAGAGTCACCTCAGAAAACTTTAATGTCACTTCTGAAATATGCTCCTTTGACAGGGTAGCACTGTATTGTACAAAGATGCCAGCACAGTTCTGTGCTTAAGTGAGACATGAAGTCACAAACATCTGATTTAGAGGCAAGGATACTCCCCACTGGGCCACAGCTGAAGACTAATGGGGATGGGGTGGCTGGAAACTTCAGCAAAAAAAAAAGTGAGCTTTGAGATGTCTGAAGATGGTAAGAATGGACAGAACATTGACTAGACAGTACACCATGATAACGAGAAATGATCCCATCAGTTTGGAGGGAAGAGAGTGGAGGATGCAGAAAATAAAAACAGTAAACCCGAAGGGAGGGTGACAAAATATCAGCCTGACGATACATATACTTTCCAACATTGGAAACAAGCACTGGAACCATGGCCAATCTGATACCCCCTAACCCAGAGATCACTACTGGCAACCTATCACAACCTCAACTGAGACAAAGTAAAGTCAGTGCAGGTCAGCAACTGACCCAGAAATGGAATCTAGGAACTTCCTGACCTCCTCAGCTCAGCTGCTCACTCACCCAACTCAATCTGCTTTTAATTTATTCTTAGATTTCTGCCCCTTCCTGCCTCCTGCCCTGAGAGTGCTAAAGATACCATTAGTTTTTAAGTACCTGAGACAACTCTCTTCTTCACGTGTACATTGGGCCATTTGGGAATGGAATCAGGAAGCAGGTCTTCACACTCAAACCAACAAAACTCAAGAATACTGTTCCCTCAAGGACTAGGACTTTCAAGATGTAGATCAGAGCTTTCCAAAGTTAGGGTTTAGCAATCAAGTGGGGCCTTGAATCCAGGCTATGACTGTTGACAGGTTAACTTGCTATGAAGGTTATCACACCTGAACTGTGGATTCACTAATCTCCCAGCACAATGCAATGCTCAGGACGGATTATCAAGCCTGAACCTGGTCCCACTCTATAGCTCAAAGTTGTCCTGAGCTTGGTATCACCATGTCACGTTCCTCAAATTTAGTTCTTACTTTGTCATCTGAACACTCAGATCAGTTCTACCCGTTCAGACACCAACCAACTACTCATCCTGGAACTCCCTGAAGTATGATATATAATGGATGAACCAACCAATAACTTGGCTCTTATGCAACGCCATTGATCCGTACTTTTCCACTGAATGAACAATAATTGTCAAAATCAATCTCTAGAACACTGAACTAACCTTAGAAAATAATCTCATATAAATGCACGGCAATCTGCTTAGCTAAAGGAAGAGGACGGGGCCATTCAGCCTCCTAGGTTGTTCTATTAGAACCTTAACTCAGCATCACTCTACCTACATCCAGCTCTACTGATCAGGATCAGCAAGTCCCAACCATTTTCCCTCTGTGACTCCATTTCAAGGCTTGAAAATTGTCACCACCCATCAATAAGACCGGTCAGAGTTAGGGAGAAGAGTTACACACTTGGTTGGGGCTCTGCTAGTACCACAGAGTTTGTAGCCCTACAGGTTCAGCTCATGACCCCACTTGGGGTCCCAACCTCCCACTTTGGGAAGCTCTGATCCCTATGTTGAAAGCCCCCAGCCCTTCAGTGGACAGTTTTCTCGATTTTTATGGATCTGTGTGCTTCCTGATTCCGTTCCCAAAATGTCGAGCAGTGGCCCAGTTTACATTCCAGTTCTCTGTCCAGCAACCCGCCCCAGTATTCTCTATCATCAATTCTAGACTTACCCGGTGGACATTTGGCACAGCAGCGGGACGACAGTGAGTACTGTGTGATATTGTTACATTTGGTAGCACACTCACAGTGGTACAGCTGAAAAGAGAAAGACAGAGAGTGAACCAAAATTATAAGTGCACTGCTCATTCTACACGGTGTTCTGTGGGAATGAAAGATTAATTCCCTGGACAATGGAACAAGCAAATCCAGGAGAAAAACATCACAGGAGAAATGAACTGTATCACATGCAGATGTTATTTTCTTTACACACTTTTTTTTAGCTGTAAAGAAATCAGAAATAGATCAAAACTGGCTATTTGAGCAACGATCAAAAAAATCTTCCAATCAACTAACAATGTCACAGAATTGCAGAATAGATACAGTGCACAGCAGGCCATCCAGTCTGTCAGACCGCTGTTGTGTCAGGAAAGTGCCATTTGTGGATGAGTGATGGCTTTCTCATTGCCATCAATGTACCCAGTACAGTTATAGACTCATACAGCATAGAAACAGACCCTTTGGTCCAACCAATCCATGCCAACCATAATTCCAAACTAAACTAGTCCCACCTGCCTGTGCTTGGCCCCTATCCCTCCAAACATTTCTTATTCATAGACTTACCCAAATGTCTTTTAAATGTTGTAACTGTACCCGCATCCAACACTCCCTCTGGAAGTTTGTTTCACACAGGAATCATTTTCTGTGTAAAAAAGTTGCTCCTTCATGTCTTTTTTACATCTTTCTCCTTAAAAATATGCCCTCTACTTTTGATCTCCCTCACCCTACGGAAAAGACCATTGCTATTCACTTTCTCCACGCCCCTCATAATTTTATAAACCTCTACAAGATCACCTGTCAACCTCCTACGCTCCAATGAAAAAAAGTCCCAGCCTATCCAGCCTCTCCTTTTAACTCAAACCCTCCATTCCTAGCAACATCCTAGTATATCTCTTCTGAACCCTCTCCACCTTAATAATGTCCTTCCTATAACAGGGTGACCAGAACCGCACACTGTACTCCAGAAGAAGCCTCACTAATGACCCATACAACTTCAACTAGATGAAGGAGCTGTGCTCTGAAAGCTTTGTTTTCAAATAAACCTGTTGGACTATAACCTGGTGTCATGTGACTTTTGACCTTGTCCACCCCAGTCCAACAGCGGCACCTCCACATCCTGTACAACCTCAACATAATGTCCCAACTCCTCTACTCAAAGGTCTGAGCAATGAAGGCAACCATGCTAAACGCTTCTGAGCCAGCTCAGCAGGTCTGGCAGAATCTGTGCAGAGAAATCAGAGTTAACGTTTCGGGTTGAGTGACCCTTCCTCATAAGTGTTCTTTAGGAAAGGAAACTGGCCTACCTGTGACTCCAGACCCACACCAATGTGGTTGACTCTTAACTGCCCTTTGGGCAATTAGGAATGGGCAATAAATGCTGCCTAGCCAGTGAGGCCCACATCCCATGAATGAATAAAATGTCAAATTTAGACCCCTTCTTTTTTTTTTAAATGATTATGCCAATTAATTCTTGCTAAAAGATTATTTATAAACACATGAATTAGGAGCTCAAGTAGGCCATTCAGGCCCCCAAGCATATTCCACCATTCGATAAGGCAATGGCTGATCTTATCTCTCCATCTTCCTGCCAATCCACATTAACCTTTCACCCACCTGCTTTTTAAGAATCTATCCACCTCTGACTTAAAAGCAAAGATTCTGCTTCTGCAGCATTTCGGACAGGGAGGTGATGGCTTAGCGGTATTATTGCTGGACTGTTAATCCAGAGACCCAGATAACATTCTGGGGACCCAGGCTCAAATCCCACAATGGTAGGTGGTGGAATCTGAATTCAATAATATCTGGAATTAAGAATCTAACGATGACCATGAATCCATTGTTGGAAAAACCCATCTATTTTGCTAATCTATGGAAGGAAACTGCCATCCTTACCTGGTCAGGCCTACATGTGACTCCAGATCCACAGCAATGTGGTTGACTCTTAACTTCCCTCTGAGCAATTAGGGATGGACAATAAATGCTGCCTGGTCAGTGACACCCTCATCCCATGAATGAATAAAGAAAAAAACAATTCCAAAGACCTGCAACCCTCTGTAAGAAAACACTTCTCTTCATCTCTGTCTTAAATAGGTGACCCCTTGTCCCAGAATCTCCCACAACAGGAAACATCCTCTCCACATGCACTCTGTCAAGATCTGTCTTGGGTCACATATCAATCAAGCCACCTCTTACTCTTCTAATTTCAATCACAGAATCCCCACAGAAAGAGACCATTCAGCCCAATGGGTCTGCAGTGACACTCCAAACAGCATCTCACCCAGACTCAACCCATCCCGGTAACCCCAGATGGAGATTTTCCCACGGCAAACCCACCTAGCCTGCACATCCTTGGGCACTACAGAGCAATTTTTAGCATGGGCCAATTGACCCTGACCTGCACATCCTTTAACTGTGGGAGGAAACCGGAGCACCCGGAGGAAACCCACGCAGACACAGGGAGAATGTGCAAACTCAACACAGACAGTCACCTGAATCAAACCTGTGAGGCATCAAGACTCTGTGCCCCTCCAGCATTTAATATTTGATACATATTAACATTTGCAATAGTTGGGGAAGAGGAACAGTTCTTGTGTATATTGTTTCTACAGCAACCCACCCACAGCCATGCGGCTCATCACCATGGCTAACCCCAGCTTCCCACAAGAAAAGTAATGAGGATGTTTCTGTGCTGCTTTGTGTTACTTCTTGTTACTGAACATGCCAGTGTGTTCCAATTTCTCCTGAAGCTCATCTCCAAACCTAAACATTTCACATAATGTACTGATGATCAGTGCTGCGGTTGCTTCCCTCAAGGTGAATATATCAGTGGGAGAAGTGGATTTTGCAAGTGAGTACTTATCTCATAGCCTGATCTTGCAGTGGTTACACACTCATATCAGAAGGAAGTTAGAGACTTTCAGAACTGCTAATGCTCCTGCACAGGATCTGAATGTTTATACATACAGTATCAACTAATATCAACCGTGTGCAAGAGGGTCACTTCACCAAAGACAGTGGTTTTGGACCCCTCCCGACTTTTAACTGGACAAAGTGCTGATTTTTCAAGGCTGCATGTCGACAAGCATTCTGACAGCATGGAGATAACAGATAGATCGAGAGAGGTAACGGTGAGAGCCAGAGTTGGGTATAAAGGACATGAACATTGACCCCACTTGTATGGATATACTGGGCAACCTCATAAGATCATGGGAACCTTGGAGTTCTCCAGAGAGACACTGCAGAGTTGAGAAGAGAAATCATGACGACAAACTGATATAATGAAGCAAGGGCAGCGTCACTGAATTAGGCACTGGACGAGTTATCTTGAAGGAGAATCATAGGTTGACTGTGTCAAAAATTTTAGAGAAGGTGGCGATGAGAAAACTAAAGGGACAGTGCCTGAAGATAGAGAACTTTTAACAAGCTCATCCTCACTTTGAACAACTTCTCCTTTCACTCCTTTCACTTTCTTCAGGTCAGAGGGGTGGCCATGGGTACCTGCATGGGCCCTAGCTATGTCTGTCTCTGTGTGGGGTACATGGCACATTCTTTGTTCCAATCATACTCAGGCCCACACCCACAACTCTTTTTCCAGTATATCTGCTATATGAACTGGAGAAGTTTATCCAATTCCAATTTCCACCCTACTCTCACATTCACTTGGTGCACCTCCGACTCATCCCTTCTCTTCCTTGATGTCTGTGTTTCCATTTCTGGGGATAGGCTGGCCATCAATATCAATCACAAACCCACTGACTCCCAGTTACCTGGACTATACATCCCCACATCCTGCTTCCTGTAAGGACTCCATCCCATTTCTCCCAGTTTCTCCATCTCCATGATATCTGTTCTGATGATGCCACCTTCCATTGGGTGGGAAGGGGGCCTCAGAAATGTCCACCATTTGCTTCAGCTGAGGATTCCCCACCGCCATGATCAACAGGGCCTTTAGACAAGTCTGACCCATCTTGCACTCTCCGCCCTCCATTAACAGCGATAGCGTTCCCCGATCCTCACTTCACCCCCAGCAGCCTCCACATCCAAAGGATAATAAGCCACTATTTATCTGAGTGTGGTGGGATGCCATGACCAGACGCATATTCCCCTCCCCTCCTTCATCAGCCTTCTGCAGGAACTGTTGTCTCCAGGACACTCTAGCCCACTCCTCCTCCGCTCCCAATACCTCTCCACATCGGCACCTTCATCTGGCATCACAGAAGGTGTAGCACCTGCCTGTTTACTTCCTCCCTTGTCATCATCCAAGGCCCCAGACACACCTTCTGAATGAAGCAGTGCTTTATCTGCACTTCAGTCAACCTAGTCTACTGTATTCGCTCCTCACACTGTGGTCTCCTCTACATTGGAGAGATGAAGTGCGAATTGGGCAACCGTTTTACAGAACACCTTTGTTCTGTCCACAAAAATGACACTGACGTTCCAGTTGCCTGCCACTTCAACACACCAACGTGTTCCCCGGCCAACATCACTTTCTCCGGCTTGCTGTTGTGCTCCAGTGAAGCTCAGCGCAAGCTGGATGAACAGCATCTCATTTTCCATTTGGGGATCCAGTAATCTTCAGGGCTCAATAGTGAGTTCAATACATTTAGGGCCTGAGCACCTTCTGCTACGTCCTTTCCACACGCCCAGAGATGTGTGCTACTCAGGGGGTAACCCTTTATGGGGCTGGGGGTCTCTGTGAGCCAAGATCAGGAATGTCTCTTCTCCCCCACCACACCCTAAGCCCACAATGGGACCATTAGCATATTCCTGGAGTATATGTGACAGTGGTGCCAAGCCACCACTTCATTGGGCACATAAAGGCCTCAAATATTCTAAGGGCAAGAGGCTGTACACCATCTCCCCAACACTGGTAAAAGGCCACCTAATTTACCTCAGGAGAGCTGAGATACAAAATCAACCGAATATGCATTTGTACAGAGCCTGGGTCAGAGCTCACACAAGTGCAGTGCTCAGGTTTGAGGTCGCCTGCCTCAGGACCTTGGACAGGAACCAACACACGGTCAGTAGAGCCCTAACAGATTAATTCAGGAGAATGGGGTTCATAAACTTGGCTTGTATACTATTGTCTCACAATCCTATTCCTAATAAACGGGTGGCGTTGACTTGTGACGGGACAGTTGACGCCAAGTGGTCATCTGAGAGGTGCAACATGAAGCACAGTGGCTTAGACCAGAAGGACTGATTCGCAGAAGTGGTAAGATAGCAGTGATGAGGGAGGGGTAACAACAAACTGGCTCTTGTTTTGGGTCGAGAGAGACTTCTGAAAGAAGTTTCGCAGCCAGTTACTAGGGGACACCTGAAATACAAATGAATATTTATTATATAGATTTCCCCTCCTCATCTCCCTCGCTGTTCCATGATCGAACCCCATCCCCATCAAGCTAGGCTTGTGACAAGTCATCAGGGTGATGGCTCCAGTCCAACACAGACCCACTTCCACCATGGACATGTCTTACCAGATAGCTGACTAACATTAGTGCTTTATCCTAATTAATGCTCCCTTATTAAACAGCATGGTTACTACACCCTATTGCACAATAGGTTCATCGACATTAGCTCACATTTCACAAATTAACATAGCTGGCATGACTGAACTTGCATTTATGCAGCAGCTTTCAGAATGTCTCAATGCATCTCTCACACAATAAAAAGTGTTCTGAAATGCATTTGCTGTAGAAATGTAATAAACGCTGCAGTCAAGTTGTATGTATTTGACAAACAGCAATAAACTGGATGATCAGCTAACTGTTTTAGTAATAATACTGGTTGAGGGATAAATGCAGGAGGATGTTGGCTAAGACAGTGGAGATCATGTTCTTCCTCAGAATACTGTCATGGAATCTTTCACATAAAACTGAAAGAGGAACTTTAATGATTCAGTTTAATGATTCATCCAAAAGGCAGTGCCTCTGACAATGTCCAGCTCCCTCATCACTGAAGTGATTTATCAGCCTCCATAATGCAGTCAAATCTCTACAGCATGACTTAGCTCACGACTTGCTGACTCAGAGGTAAAGGCATCTTCAATTTAGTCAAAACAATTACATCAATGGAGAAGATAATAACTCATCATGCGCAATACAAAATGATAATTGAATACCATGTGGTGGATGGGTGTGGAACCAGGATATTTGCAACAAGTTTGCCACTGAGGATGGGAGCTGAAAGCAATCAACATCCAGTGGACACAGGGACATGGGAGAGCATGCTGGTCTCAAGATATGAACAAGAGGAATGTAGGCAATTAGAAAATTGGCAATAGCTGACAAGTAGTTTCATGGAAGTTGACACAATGCCAGGAAAACTTTGAAAAATAAACCCACCTGAATGCAGTTCACAAGACAGACCTCCAGGCAGAGCCTTTGTTTTACAGTGAGCTACATTACATTTTTATGACATGGAACACCATGAGTTTTACAAGTGCAGTAGGGTATAGTCTACAACTCAAGGTGGAAGCTGAAGTATAGCTCACCTAAGGCATGCTAAAATAAGGAGTTACACCGAGAATGCAGTGGGATGGGAGCTTAAAATACTTGAGCTGTTGGTGTCTCGCTGTTGCATTCCATTACTCATACACTAGGACAAGACTGATCAACACAAAAGTCTGTGTTTTGCATTTCCAAAATTACAGAATTCTGAAGGAGGGTGGGAAATGTTAGGTTTTGTTTCGAAAAGTGTGTGCGGGCACACACTTATTAACACTTCACATTTGCTACATTTTATTTGACCATCCTAACTCTTAGCATTATGGAAATTGAGATGCAACTTGCAGTGAATAAGTGCTGCTATTAATCATACCCCTTTCAGTACTGAGCAGAAGCTATTGATTGGTGCTGCATAACTGCCCCAGCTCTGGTAGGACATGGGATTCACACCCTTGTGAATGCTGAATTCCTAGATTCATTTGACACTTCGGACAGCCAAAACAATAATGCATTTAGGGCCTCAGAAGATGGTCCATCGTGATCTACTCTTAGGAACACTTGCATCTGTTTGCATTGCCCAGCGACAATACCATCCACTTATATAATGTTTGTAACATTAAAAAAAAAGCCTTGGCACTTACACTGTGGGCTTTCAGACAGTCACCCGTGCACAGAATCAATCCAGCGTGCATGGCTTTGTCAGGCAGCAGTGCCTGGTCAAAAAGGCAATGAGCCAGGAAAGCAGTGCTAAATGCATTGTGCACAAACTTGGTTAAAGGGACAGGTTTTGGACAGGTTCTCAAATGAGAACGTAACCATTTCGAGTTAGAATTCCAGGTGTAGAACCCTGAGATGAAGGCCCTGCCACCTGCAGATAAGATGAAGGGAATGGACACACCAAAGAGGCTTACTTCAGACAAATGGAATGTTGGGATGTAGACTGAAGATTCTCAGTGTATTGTATAAAGAGTCAGGAGAGCCACTTAACATCAGCAAGAACAGAAGGAGAGATGATGGGTATTGTGTAAGGCAGTTAGTACCCAAAGTGGTTAACTGACATTATCAGATAAGCTCTGCTCAGATTGTCCCTGGGAGGAGTAAACTAAAGTGTTCTAACTCGTTCTAATATGTCAAGGTGTGATTGTTATGGTACAAAGTCCACATAGCTAGCAGTAATGTGTACTCTTAAACTGACTCTGATGTCTTGCAGGAGATCACTACATATCTCCAAAGTAACGCACTCATTAGCAACATGTAATAAACCTTTGCTGTTCATCAAAATTGAGCCTATCTTCTACTGTGCAGGCATCCTTCTCCTCATGGTATCAGAAATGTAGATTTAAAACCAAGGATGAGGATTGCTGGCAGTGAATCTACCAAAACTGCTCAGCTACACCATAATGACATGGGCACTCAAAATTATAATAACGTGCAAGGGAGTCTTTGGGGAATACAATGTGGGCATGACTTTTTTAAAGTTTGTAAGTGTGGAAGAGTAGTGGGTAATTTTAACTTTCAATTATGTCATAAAAGTGATGATGACTGATCAACATTCTTAATTCCCTCTTCTTCTAATTTTCCACAATGGAAAACTGGAAGAGATGTATAACAGTTGGTTGATCCCGTATCTCGTGTTACACTATCATACAAAGTTGAACATACTCCTGCAGACTCTGGAAATGACAAAAAATATGTGAGCATTTCAGCACCAGGCACACAGAGTGGGAAACCAACGGACAATGTTGCTGAGGTGGAACCAGGCAGTCCTAATAATGGGAAGAGGAGGGGATTTGAAATTCAGCCTAGGATTGAACAGAATAGCAGGTAGGCAAATGGACAACAGCCCAAGATAACGGTGAGGCTTGTAATATAAAGATAAGGGGTTGTGGCAGAAACTGAAGAAGGAGGTTCATGAAAAGAACAGAAAACATGAAAATAACATCAGATTCATTAGCTTTTTCACAATATCCTGAAAACCCTATTCAACAAACTGCACAGTCATACTGACTGTGTGCACAGGAGCTTAATGAGTGATTATATAATGTGTATAATGTGTGAGTATTATATATAATATATAAAATGCTAAAATCTTGTGTACACCAGCTGATTCCTGTCCATAAGCAATTATTATCGTCAATTCTTTTTGGGTCAGATGTTTCTATCAACTGACCATTGTAAAGTGCTATGTCAACTCTCCCACCATAATCTGGCCAATAGGCTGCACAGTGAAGCATGTTATTTAAGTGTTTCTCCTACACATAGGGAGAAGTTATTCACCATTACTTTGGATAATGTGCTGATAATCATGAATTGAACCTACATTCATGTCCCATGTAATCATTGCTAACCTGCTTCACCAATCTCCAGTATCCAAACAACCACATAGTTTGTGCTCTGGATGCATTCCTTATTCACTCCTTTGAACTCAAAGTGAATTCACTCAAATAATACTCAATTTATTTTTTCAAGTAAACCAGCTTCCCGCATTACCAGCATTCTCCCCAGTGTTGCAGCCAATATTCATCATTGATCCAACTCAGATGTATATGGTCACGTATTTGCGTCTGATGTGTCCAAACAGAAGTGTGCATTTCCTAAGTCACATTAGTCATTACAACAGTTCTTTTAATTGCCAGTAAACTGCTTTGGGACACTCTGAGATTGTGAAAGATGCTTCATAAATAAAAATCTTTCCCATCTCGCAGCCGCCTGAGTGTCAACATGACTGAAACCAACAGTCCCCTTTTCCTTGAAATTTAGATACACCTCCGGTCTCCATTTCAAGATTAATCTGAATCAGGTTTTGTTAAATGGGTTTAGAGATTACATTGACGCACAGCTACATCAAGGGGTAGGAACATCAAAAATTATGAAGGTCATTGATTAACAATTGTATATCATTGCCCAGCGATTGCACCCTCTCAAATGTATATCACTGCTGGGTTTGAGAGCACAGTGATTACATTTTTCTGTTGTCACTGAAACTGAACTCTGACTATTTGCACTGTTGGAGTAGGGGTCACTTCTGAGCTGTGCTGGGCCATCCCGAAAAGGCCTGCAGCCAAGGACAGAGAGTCATCCCGTTTTCCGTGCTCGGAGCTCAGGGCCCCACGTTGCAAACTCTCGCTGTTGCACTGAGATAGCGCAGCACTCCCGGGGTCTCGGTGTCTGCAGAGAATGTTACTCAGGCACCTTAACCGGGAGAGTTACATTGTAACCTCAACACTATCCTCCTCCCCTTCTCATTAATCCTAAACCCTTGTAAACACAAAACAATAGCCTCTGGTTTCAACAATCTCCTCCGGACACAGAGACACACAAACAGAAATAAAAACCTGAATCGCCTGAAGGAACAGCCAGAGATACCGCCGCACTTTCATTCTGCATGGCATCCGATTTCCCAGCCGGAAAGATCTGATCCCTGTCTTTGAACGGATCGCATCTCAGTCACACTGGCGTTTGCCCTAAACTCAGTCCCAGTGAGGATGTGGATTTGGATTGGGTCTGGGGAGAGAGCGAGGCCTGGACTTCAACTCCGAGATATTCCCAAGCACGATCCGGGTAGGACTGGCTTGTTGGGCGGAAGGCGGAATCAGAGAGGCCGAGGAGGCGTCGCATTCCTGACACGACTCACTACAGTCTCTCTCTCTCGCACACGCACACACACACAACCTCCCACTCCATCCTTCTCTAGGTTTACGGTTCAGAATTAACGTTTCATTCCCAAATTGGGAAATTCGAGATTTGAAAGGGTTTGACAAATGCAGAGAGAACAGGGATGGGTCATTCAGTTCTGCTTGATCCAATAAGGTCGTTTTTTTTCTCTCTCTCTGTTTTACCACAGATGCTACCTGACCTACTGAGTGATTCCAACCTTTCCTTCCTGCCTTTATTTCAGAATTTGCAGCAGGCACGGTATTTCACTTCAGTAAATATGTGATTCTCAGTTGGGAATGTGTTAATTCTCGCACCTTCGTGTGTTGCTGACACCCACGTTCAGACATCAAATCCAGGCAAACACTTGCAGTCCTGGGGTACTGCACTGTCAGAACTGCCTTTCTACTCTTTTAAAATAAGTTGATCACCTTAAACAGTGGGGCATCGTAACAAAAGTGAAATCAAACGGTCAACAGAATTCACAAAGCTAGAATGGAAACTTGTGATTAAAAATGTTGGTAAAATATCAAGGTCAGTATTGGTGTTAATGCTGCCAACCCCTGTGGTGCCCAGCAGTCTCTAAAGGAAAGGTACAGAGCGCTACATGCTCCCTCTCAATGGACACCGAAGCGCAGAGGTGAAAGGGATGCAAGCAGTCAGGCACTATCACCCCAGAGGTGCCTTTCTAACCTTGGCTTCATCTGGCCCTATCAGGTGAATACAAAAGATCCTAAAGTATCATTCTGGAGAAAAGGAGGAGAGTTCTCAGTGTTCCAAACAAGATTTATTACTTAACTAACACTACTAAAGCAGGTTATTATTCACTTGGCTCTCTGTGGGATCTTGCTGCATTTCACTGCCCCAGTGACTGCACTTCGAAAGAACTTTACAGGTTGTAAAGTGCTTTGGGATGCCACAGGACCTTGATAATTGCAACAGAAATTCAAACCCTTTAACAGCTCAATCAGTGCCAGCTGTCCTTTGGGAAGTAGACAAGTGCCATTCTTGGTCTGCCAACCAGTTCCAACCAGGGCTGGTCTGTTATCATTGAATCCTGTCCTGCCTTCACCGAATCGCCATGCATGAAATCTTTTTTTTCACAAATGAGCAATCAAGAGTGTCAATTATTGCCTATTTCAACCTTCCACTGGGAATACCCCATTCCTTCCCTGTATTAGATGCCCTGAGGTCAGTCACTGAAACATATTGACAGGATGAGACTGGTTAACTGAACACAGACAAAAGGCTATTACCCGGGACCATCTACTCTGTGTGTCTCATTGGGAGTAACGTTTAAAATGGTATTTATAAAATGCCCGCATCATTGCCTATGGTCAGTCAATGAGAAGGGATCCTTTTACATCGAGACCCACTCCATAGAACCAGCTAGTGGCTGGAGCCTGCAACTACACTGTGATTGTTAACTTGGCAAAATGGAATGGGTAATATTGACAGAGAAATTTGCAATGATAAAGGTTGTAAGTTCATGTCCTGGAGCAACAAGTGGATACCAAGGTGCTGTACACTGCATAACATTGCCAGACTTTACTTGCTAGAAACAGCATGCATTAAATTTAGTTTAAACACTTTAATATGGGAAGACACCCAAAAAATGACTTTAGCTGCATTCATTTAAATAGGTTTGCAACTAACTCCATCCTTTTGATAGTCACCAGTGTTAAAAGCATTGCTTCTCACCAATACCTACTTCCCCCAATTTCAGAAGTTTTTATGTTTATAACACAGATTTAAAAAGTAGTCGTCATTACATCTCAGTGGTAATGTCATTAAATCATTTTTTTAATAGTGCATTGGAAATTAAATGGTGATGATCCATCTTCTGGGAGAAATATTAAACTGAGGCCTCCCTGTCCTCCAAGGTTGGTGTAAAGAAATCTCATGGCATTATTCAAGAAGGATTGGATGGAGTTATTTCCTGATTCCCTAGCCAATATTTATTCCTAAATTAATATCACAAAATCTGATTGCTTTGGTCATTATCAAATTGCTGTTTGTGGGAGTTTGCTGTGCACAAATTGATTGCCATCTTTCCTAGATTACAATGACTACACTTCATTGACTGTAAGATGCTTTGAGAAATCTAGTGGTCACAAGTGGTGCTATATTAAAGTATTTCTTTTGAATGTATCTTATAATTCTTTGTGGAATCTTGCAGTACACGGTTCGCTTCTGCATTTCCCTGCATTTAGATTGGGGAGGTAATGGCCTAGTGTATTATCGCTGGACTGTTAATCCAGAGTTCAAGATAACATTCTGGATTCGAATCCTGTGACAGCAGATGGTGAAATTTGAATTTAACTAAAAAAATCTGGAATTAGGAATCTAGTGATAACTATGAATCTGTTGCTGATTGTTGGAACAACCCCTCTGGTTCACTAATGTCCTTTAGGGAAGGAAACTGCCATCCTTACCTGGTCTGGCCTACATGTGACTCCTGACCCACAGCAATGTGGTTGACTCTCAACTGCTCTCTGGACAATCAGGGATGGGCAATAAATGCTGTCTAAAAGTGACACCCTCATCCCATGAATGAATAAAGGAAAAAAAACAATGGTGATTAGACTTTGAAAGGAGATGGAAAGCACTTTGGAACATCCTAAGCTCCTGAAAGGCATTGTTTAAATATTGTTTTATGGAACTGAATGTTAACAAAAGTCAGAGGAAAGAGAGAAAAATGAAGAGAAGAGATAACGTTATAAAAACAATCGCTAACAAAGCTTAGAACAGATGCGTAATGAAGACATTCAGTTGGATCAATTGCTTTCAGTGACCCTCCCTCATATAAACACTAGCTTGCATTCAAGGAGATAACTTGACTTCATTAAATGACAGTCAGTTATTCATTTTATTCATTTTTACAAAGTCATCATGCTTAAATCACACCTGTACACTTATCAAAATATACATTGTTCCATAAGAACCATCAGGGAGAGATGCAAAGGCACCTTTGGAGTTATACACAAGGGACAATGGCCTTAGTTATAGAGCCTCCAGTGCAGAGAAAACTAAGGGTCAGAAACTGTCCATACTTTCAACCAAATTTGCAAGTGGAAATTCAGCTTTTACAGGCACTGATGTGTGGGAAAAATGATCTGCTTTAAGGCAGTTGAGGACAGGGACCCACAACTGGAGATTAACAGGAGGAATGGTACAGAATGTGACTTTGCTGCACTGAGGAGGAAGCAGCAATCTGATTGCAAGAGCTCGGGATCAGAAAACATTTTGTCTTTATGTCAAATCAGAAAGGTACTGTAGATGAAGCAGCTTCGTCCATGTTCTGTCACTGAGTTAGCAGATTGTAAAATATGTTATCATGGGATACTGCAGTGAAGAGGTTATTGAGGCACCTTGCCTGTGTCAATTGTTCGAAGGCTGTGCAGAAATCTTTGACGCTGGGATTAGTAGGTCCATTGCTGGATGCCCATTCTGGTCTTTGACTATGACAAAGTGATGTTGAATTCGAAGAAACCCCACAAAAACACAAAAACATCAGCATCACCACAATATCCACTGCCTCCTCACACTGGTGCTTGGTTGAACAGTCCTTATAGCTGCATTTTACACAGGGAGCAGCTCAGTCCCATCCTCAGGGCTCTTGTCCTCATCTCCTGCTGTAGCTAATATCCTTCCATTCTCAGTCTTCTCATGTTCCTGGACTGGTTTGGGCATGTTACCAGGGCACTTCAGTTTAAAAAAAAACACAGAAACCGGTTGATTTCAAAGAAATATAAATACAAAACCCAATTACATTATTTTGAAAAGAGCAATTGTTCACTTTGTAACAATGGCAATACCGAACATGGAAGGTTCCAAGTTTCGAAACCTGGTCTGGAGTTACCTGCTCTCCAACCAATGAGCAATCAGGACAGGGAGATTCAGGCAACCAATGATCACTCTTCTGATCATCCTGGGTGATTCCTCACCTGATCACTCTTGGTGATCCCTCACACAATCAGTCTCATTGAGCCCCCCCCAACCCGATCACTCTTGGCGATCCCTCACCCGATCACTCTTGATGATCCCTCCCCTAATCACTGTTATCACGCTCTGCCATCTCTCAGCCGATCATGCTCCACGGTTCCTCAGCCAATCACTCCCAGTCATCCCTCACCCAATCACTTTCAGTCATCCTTTTCCGATTCCCATTTAGCCCCGTTTGGAATATGGTACCAGGTGAACAAACTGTAGGAACTGACATTTACATATAAAACTAAACTTACCAGCCTGTTGACGATGTCCCTTATTTTGGTCCGATGTTCTGAAAGAGAGAGAAACAAAATGGAATCACTTGTGGCACTGTACCCAGCGCCTGGCACCCAGTGCCAATCCATAGTGAGAGGAGATCTATATAAAATGATGCTGGGTGTACAATGGCCTTGCACTGTCCTCACAGCTCCTAATTGACACCATCCACCAGTGCATAATTAAGAAGACATCTGCCATTGTAAATCCCTTACAGTGTCATGAGGACATCCCAGTGCACACCACAATCCCAGAAATAATAACTGACTAATAAACATGACTTTGGTGATACCTGAAAGAGGAATCTAGGTCAAGACCTGAAAAGCATTCCATTCTATCTTTCAGAATGCACCAATGGAATGCTTTATGTCCAGCCAAAGAGCTAAATGGAGCTCCGTCTTAATGTTTCATCCAAAAGCAAGATTCTCTGGTACTAATAGTAACTTAATGGGTGATTGGAAAAACTACAGGATGGTGAGTATTGGAACTAAACATTGTCCCACTTGGGTGATAGCAGATCGTCTTCTAAGGTTGGCTAAATGCACAGTTGGATCAAAATAGAGGGAGGTTTGATGCATATCTCGTCATTCTGAATCTGCCCTGGGAGTGCTTGACAGAGACAGTGTAGAGCGAACTTTACTCTGCATCTAACCCCATGCTGTACATGCCCTGAATGGGGACAGTGTAGAGGGAGTTTTTCTCTGTATCTGTCCTGCATTTTAACTTTGAGACTGTTTGGTATTAAACAATGAAAGCCTAATTTCCCAGGACCAACATCTCTCATTCCGACAAGTGTAAAATTAATAAAAAATAATGTAAAAATGCACAAGGTGAAATGTTTGTACTACTTACCCTTATTACTTCCAATGCATATAAAGGAAAGCAAGATGATAATAACGAGTAGTACACTAAGGAGGACAATCACTGTGATTAATCCCGCTTTCGATGGAAGTTCTGAGGTACCTGAAAAGAACCAGAGTACACAGAAGTTAACAAGATCTATGACCCCACTTCCAGTCTTTATTTCTTGCAGGAGAAGCCAAATTCTCCCAGCAACCCCTAACATCATTGTAAATGGTGACAGAGTCATGTGAGTGAGAATGCTGCACCATGGTTTTACCCCATTCCCTCCCTCTCATTATGGGCGAGCGGCTTGTGTGGAGTCAGGCAAGACTGCTCACTATATAACGACTGCAATTCAGCCTTATGGAGAAGAACACCTCATCAAGAGGAGATGGACGGAGGAACACAGGACGTAGATACTTGGAGACACTAAGGACTGCAGATGCTGGAAGCCACAGTCTATAGGTGTGAGGCTGGAAAAGCACAGCAGGTCAGACAGCATCAGAGGAGCAGGAAAGTCAATGATTTGGTCCAAAACCTTTTGTCAGGACTGGGGAAGGGGAAGGGAGCCCAGAAATAAATGGAGGGAGGGGGGTGGGGATAGGGGAAGGGTAGGAGAGATGGTGATAGGTGGGTGCAGGTCAGGGATTATTGTGATTGGTCTACGGGAAGGATGGAGCGGACAGGTGAGTAGGAAGATGGACAGGTTAGGGCAAGTCGGGAGGGGAAGGGCTGGACATAGGATAAGGGTGGGGGTACAGGGATTTCGAAGCCGGTGAAGTCAATATTCAGGCCACTGGGCTGTAAGCTCCCAAGGCAAGGTATCAGGTGTTGTTCCTTAAGTTTACATTTGGCCTGACTCTGACAGTGGAGAAGGCCATGGATGGACATGTCACTTGGGGGGTGGGAGGGGGAATTAAAATGGATGGCAACTGAAAGGTCAGGTTGGTTGATGCGTGCAGAGCACAGATGCTCCGTGAACCAGTTCCCAAGGCTGCGTTTGGTCTCCCCGATATAGAGGAGGTGACATCGGGAGCAACAGATACAGTAGATCAGGTTGGACGAAGTGCAGGTGACTGTCTGCCGGATCTGGAAGGATGGTTTGGGGTCTCGGAAGGAGATGAGAGGGGACTTGTGGGGGCAGGTGTGGCACCTTCAGTGGTTGCAGGGAAAGATGCCGGGGTTGGTGAAGCGGTCGGTGGGGAATATGGAACTGGTGAGGGAGTCGTCGAGTGAACGGTCCCTGTGGAAAGTGGACAGGGTCTGATTGTAGGTGGCGGAAATGTCAGAGGATGATGCGTTGTATTCGGAGTTTGGCAGAATGGTATGTGAGGACTAAGGGAACTGTATCCTTATTGTTGTTGGGGGAAGAGGGTTTGAGGGCAGAAGTGCAGGATATGGAGGAGATGCGGTTGAGGACATCCTTAATGACAGAGGCGGGGAAATTAGGGTCGCTAAAGTAGGAGATCATTGAGGAAATCCTAGAGTAAAATGCTTTATTCTGGGAGCAGATACGGTGGAGGAATTGAGAGTTTGGGATAGCAATTGCAGGAGGATGAGTGAGAGGAGGTGTAGTCGAGATACCTGTGGGAGTCAGTGAGTTTGAAATGGATGTCAGTGGTGAATCGGTTTCTGAGGATAGAGACAGAGAGGTCCAGGAAGGGGAGGGAGGTGGCAGAAATGGTCCAAGTGAATTTGAGTTCGCGGTGGAAGGTGTTGGCAAGTTGATGAACTGCTTGAGCTCCTCACAGGAATACGTGGCAGCACCAATGCAGTCATCAATATAGCGGAGAAAGAGGTGAGGGATGCTGCCGGTGTAGTTGTGAAAGAGGGACTGTTCCACAAATCCTACTAAGAGGCAGGCATAGCTCGGGCCCATTGCGGGCGCGCATAGCAACCCCTTTGGTTTGTAGGAAGTGGGAGGAATCAAAGGAAAAATTGTTGAGAGTTCTGCCACCTACAATCAGACCCCACCACCAAAAGGATATTTTGCTGTCCACTTTCGACAGGGACCGTTCACCCAGTGATTCCCTCATCAGCTCCATACTCCCCACCGACCGCTTCACCACCCCAGCACCTTTCCCTGTAACCACAGGAGGTGCAACACCTGCCCCTCTACCTCCCCTCTCACCTCTGTCCAAGGCCCGAAATAATCCTTCCAAATCCGCCAGAGATTCACCTGCACTTCATCCAACCTCATCTAATGCATCCATTGCTCCCAATGTGGTCTCCTCTATATCAGGGAGACCAAACGCAGACTCAGGGACCAGTTCGCAGAGCATCTATAGTCTGCACGTATCAACCACCCGACGTTTCATTTACCATCCATTTTAACTCCCCCTCCCACTCCCCTGACGACATTTAGCCTCCTCCACTGTCAGAGGGAGGCCAAACATAAACTGGAGAAGTGTGACCTAATATTGTGCCTTGGGATCTTACAGACTCAACATTGACTTCACCAGCTTCAAAATCCCTCCTCCCTCACCCTATCCCACGTCCAGCCCTCCCCCTCCTGGCCTGACCATCTTCCTACTCACCTATCTGCTCCACCCTTCACACAGACCAATCACAATAACCCCCTACCTGCATCCACCATTCACCATCTCTCCTACCCTTCCCGTATCCCCAACCCCCCTTATTTATTTCTGGGCTTCCCTCCCCCTTCCCAGTCCTGTCAAAACATTGACTTTCCTGCTCCTCAGATGCTGTTGGACCTGCTGTGCTTTTCCAGCCTCATATGGGACTCAGGTAGGCCATTCAGCTCTTTGAGCTCACTCTGCTGCTTGATCAATCATAGCTGATTGAATTGTGGCTTCGACTCACACAGCTGAACCTAGCAGCTGAAGAGAAGATGTACCCTGGTACAAGACCACTGGATTCATCAGGAGAGGAATAATGGGTGAAAATTTAACTCACTGGCCACTCAGTTTGCATCGGCTGCCTCCAATGTTCTTAACCAGTGTCACTATCTGACACCACCTAATGAGCACCCATCAGTAATTTGGTGTGTGATGCCTGATTTCATCAGATTTCAACTGCGTCCAGATCTAACTTGAGCCTATTAAATCCAGCAGCAGAAGGACAGAGTGCCGCTATTTTCAGAATCTGTTCAGAGACAGATTTATGCATCAATCAAATCCACAAATAAGGGGCTCAACATACTCCCAGCAAATGTTACAGCAGAAAGATGGTGAGGTTTGAGGAACAAGGCAAAATAATCAAATGTGTTCTTTTTTTTTCTTCCCCACTCTGTTCTCGTGTCTTAATTTATGAAAGATCATGAACAGATGACAAGTTTTGAATTTTAATAAGATCTAAAGTGCAGAAAGTTTGAAAGAACACAGGAAACCTCAGAAACAGCAAGTAACATTCCTCAGCAGCAGCTCAAAAGAGAGACCATTTGTGGGAGTTTAGCGTTGTTAGGGAGTGGGGTGGTGCAGGATGGAAAAGATCAGACAGGGTGTGTTAGGGGGCCCCCATGTCACATCCCCAACTCCTCACTGTCACAAGGTGAAAACATCATGATCAAGCCTTGTTTAATTAATGTTCACCCTAGCCACCCTGAGTACCTCAGATGATGAAACGTTCACCAGGAAACATGACAAATAAAGAATAATTAGACTGCACCAAGCATGGCTTTCAGTTTATAAAACTCGTGGCCATATTTTTAAGGTGAGAGGAGAAAGATTTAAAAGGGACCTGAGGGGCAACCTTTTTATACAGAGTGTGGTTTGTATGTGGAATGAACTGCATGAGGGGTGTTGTAGATGCAGGTACAGTTACAACATTTAAAAGACATTTGGAGAGGTACACAAATAGGAAAGGTTTAGAGGGGACCAAATGCAGGCAAGTGGGACTAATTTAGTTTGGGAAACTTGGTCAGCATGGATGAGTTGGACTGAAAGATTTGTTTCTGTGCTCTATGACTTTATGTATCTCTATGTAAAATGCAAGGATGTTCTGACATAAGGAGATTGATGCATTTGTGTTCTTACAAAGAATGTGGTAGATTGTGACAGTGTGAGTGATTTTATCTTTTGGCAACAGGGGTAAAAAAACAGCACTGTTGGATCAGGTCTCCATTATACATCTCTCCCAATTTCCATTGACTTTCTTCAGGCAATTTCAACAGCTTCAAAGTCAAAATTACACCTAGTGTGAGTTGATCACTTATAATTATTGCTTGCTTTCCAGGAAGATCTTCAGAAACAAAGTTTCTTGGGTAGACTCACCACATTTCACATCTTTTGTTGCAGTTCCATTTTCCAGCATTTGGAGTGACCCACAACTAAAAGGAGAAAAATAGGAAGTACAGTTATTATTTTTCTTCTCATCACAGTTGCACTCCACTGAGATCCTCCTTACTTTGTACAACTGAGCAGAGGCCATTAGTGTGGCCAGTCAATAAAGGCAGCTCCACGTTGCAGCTAAACTTCAGCAGGAGTGCCTTATCACAGTTGACCATCAGGTGGTGCTCTAGCTGCAGGATAGTGCAGGCAGCAGGGTGGGATATAGAACAGTTTGGGAATGGATAGTGAAGTGGAGGCATGGTATATTGGTGAAACCATGCACAAACGCTACAACAACTGATGAATAGATACCATGCAACAATTGCCAGACAGGGTTATTCCCTCCCAACCTCCAAGGTGGACTTTGGGATACACAACAATGCAGAGTTGCCGAGCAGAGGCTGATAACCAAGTTCAGTCCCCATGAGGATGGACTCAACTGGGATCTTGGGTACATGTCGCACTACAGGTGACCCCTCCACACTATACACTCTCTCACACACACACACACACACACACACACACACACGCAAACACACACATATACACACACTCTCTCACATAAACACTCACACAAACACACACAGATCCTCTCTCATACACACACTCTCTCTCACACACTCACATTCAAATGCACGCATTCACATACACACAATCTCTCTCAAGCACACGGGATCAATGTTTCCCCAACTCATACCGAGGCTAAGATTGTAAACACAGCACGAACCAGGATGTTTTGTTCTCAATGTCACTAGACCAGGCAACGTCTTGCTCAATACAGCTATCTTGATAATTTGATGGAAGATTATATCCAGACTTACTCGCTCCATTTTCTGCAAGGCTCCATATTAGAGGACACATTTGAAAAATATCCAGGCCCACATCTCTCACACATTGGTTTTGAAATTCCCCCATCTGATAGCAAAAATCAAAAGTACAGCATTATTTAAGATTATACTACTTGGGCTGGCACCTTTTCCTTACAATTTTTTTACATATCATTCAATTTTGTGACCACTTTAGCTCCCTCTGTGCCTCAATAACAATTGACTTTGAATATGCCATCTTAACATAGTAAAAGCCACCCAAACTAGAATATAACAAAAATTGACACTGATCCCATGAAGGAGGTACTGAGATAAAGGTATTATGTTTGGTCAAAGAGGTAGGTTTTTTGAAGAGTTGTTTAAAAGGGTGGAGAGGAGGATAGGTTAAAAACGAAAGTTCCAGAGCTTGGGGCCTAGGCAGGTGAAGGCACAGCTGGTAATGCTTGGGTGTAAACAGCAGCAAATGCATACAAAGCCAGAATTGGAGGAATGCAGCAGCACTCTCATAGTGTTGTGGAACTGCAGGATGTTGCAGGGATAAACAAGGCTGAAATCACAGAGGGATTTGAACACAAGAATCAGAATTTTAAATCTGAGGCATTAGTGGACCATAAATCCATGTAGGTCAGTGAGCACAGTGACAACAAGTGAATGGGACTGTTTGTGAGTTAGGATACAGGTAGCAAGCAAAGGGTTGGATGAGCTGAAATTTACATAAAATAAACTGGGCTATTGGCCTCTTCCCATGGTTAATCTCTCTGATGTTCACAAAATCACAACACAAGAGTTTGTTACTTCAGTAATTCTGAGCAAGGTCCCACTACTCCTGATGTGGTAGATTTTACCTTCTTTGTAAACGACTCCATATCCAGGTCCGCACACCTTGTTTTCTTCACAAATCTCACAATCCTTGTTGATGCAGTACATTCCCACCCGGCACTGACAGATGGTGTCTGCAGTATTGGTGCCTCGCTTCTCAACCACAAATCCTCCATCTGAACAGAGAGAGAGAGAGAAAGAGAGAGTTAAAGGAGCAACAATGTCAGCATATTACATCCAGAGGATGAACATATCTTTATAAAACTCCAACTTAAAAAAAATTTCATGGGATGTAGGTATTGCTGACAAAGGCAGCATTTGTTGCCAATTCTTAATTGCCTTGTTAGCAGTTAAGTGTCAACCACATTGGATCAGGTGTTACATGTAGGCCAGACCAAGTAAGGATGGCAGAATTCCTTCCTGAAAGGACTTGAGTGAGCAAAATAAGAGATAACACCGTGTGGAGCTGGAGGAGCACTGCAGGTCAGGCAGCATCAGAGGAACAGGAAAGTTGACATCTCGGGTTGGGATCCTTCTTCAGAATGCCCATTTACGACAATAGGTTCATGGTCATCAATACAAAGACTGATTTCAATTCCAATTTAAGTTTAAATTTTATTTAAATTTTAATATAATTTAAACTGACACTGCAGTGATGTCAATACTACTTAACAGACATCACTGCTCGAATAATAATATAACCAAATAATGTGATTGTGGAGGAGAATTGTAACTGGTTCATTTATTAACAGATGATTAAAGGACCAATATTTTGGTGAAGTGTTTGGTCAAACAGGTTTTGTCTCTTCACAGATGTGTTCTCTGCTGGTATCGCTCTCTGTGCACTTTCTCTGCAGCCATAACATTATATTCCTCACTCTGTTCTGTACCCTAACGCATATTGAACGGTATGATCTGCCTGTACTGCATGCAAAACAAAACTTTTCACGCACCTAGGTACATGTGACAATAACAAATCAAATCAGGAAAGAAATTTCAAACCACACCACAAAAATTTAAAAGCAACCTCCTCCGTGAAATGACTGGGCAAATAATTTTCAAATATAGATGATGCCAACTTGGTTATGATGCCTCTAGTGGTCAAATGGCCTGGAGACATTCAGATGCCAGCTCTCACCTGAAGACTGGGCACTAGGATGGGACATTGAAGCTGTGGTAGTGTGATAGGTGATGTGTGATTCATGCTTTTAGAGACAGTAGGCAGGAGAGGAGTGTGAGTGTAAACTTGCGGCAGCATTAGATCTATAGTCAGAACTGGTATAGGTAATTTACTTCTCATTCTGGATCTTAATCAGTGCGACACCAGACAATAATTAATACTTACTCTGGTTACAGGTTTTGTGCAGTTGGCAATGATCCAATGTATTCCACTCTGACTGATAACGGTCAGGGCCACAATGAAGGCATTCTGAGTCCTTAGTCTCTGTACATTCACTGCTCATGTAAGTGCCTGCAAACAACAAACATTCCCCACACTTAACAAACACAGTCAGCATTACAAAGAAATCTTTCATTTCCTGTCTTTAAATTAGTCACTGGACAAACAACGTCAGATGAAAGGCCATCAACCTGAAATGTTAACTCTTTCTCTCTCCACAGATGCTGCCAGGCCTCCTGGAAGTTTCCACCCTTTTCCATTTTATTTCAGATTTCCGACATCTGCCCCATTTTACCTTTGTATCGCCGCTCCACCCCCACCCCCTCCCCACATGAACAGGTTGCTGCTATGGTCCAGACTCTGAAGTGTCTGGCCATATTATCGACCCTATGGATTCCCCTGCCAGCTCTGTACATAAGTGCGCCACAGTGTGTACTCCTTATCTCCATAAACCTGACAAATACCTCCCACCATTCAGCTGGCAGTCTGTCACCTGACCTCATGACTAGACATTCTGCCTGGTCTTGGTGAACTCAGGTCAGGGTGGATTCACCAGTTCTGGGAAGTGGAAATTGGGGACAGAATTGACCTATCAACACCCACTGCACAGGCACGCAACTGAAACATGGCCCTTGATGTGAGGCAGCAAGGGGGACGGAGCAAGATGAAGCTAGGCTGGACATAATGGCAATTTCCGATCATGCTCCTTGGTCAGCCATCACACAGGAGGAAATTCTTCAAATGCCAACATTGCCTCCTCTTCTCAGTCTCTCTGGCTGTTAAATCTGTCAGCGTTTCTCTCTTTCCCAGAAGCCCAGCTAAGACTGACGACTCAAAGCCCTTGAGGCAGTCCCATTGTGGGAAAGTATCTGACCTCACTGGGTGCCCAATGTTCTTGTGTTGCAGGATAGCTGTGGGCTGGAGGAAATCGGGGCTAATTTATTCATTGGTGGTTCATATTGAACCAAACTGAAGGGAATGCAGAAGGAAAGTCTAAATAACTAAATATAACAGAATAAATGACAAAATGAATCACAAACCATTAAAACAGTCAGAGCACTACCTTCAGGAAAGGAATAAAGATATGGTCATATTTGAGTCAGTTCTTATCATCATTCCCTTCTCAAATCTCAGTTGAATTTCATTAGTGTGTTATTTCATATTATGCAAATTTGGTATTAAAAGGAGGAGGAATAAGCACCGTTCATGATCTGGGAGCATTGCGAAGCAGTCTTCAACTTAGGGAAAACAGCAGTTTATGTAGACACAGCGATGTCCTTCAAACTGCACTGAGATAATGACCAGGTTGTCGCTTCCCTTGGTCATTTTATTTGAAGAACAAATGTTGGCCGAGACACCGGGGATAATTCTCTTGCTCTTCTCCAGAAAAGTGACATGGGTTTTTTTACATCCAGCTGAGAGAACAATCAGGGCTTTGAAAGGACCTCTGTCCTCTGGAAGTTGGAACTTCAGTGCAGAACTCCCTCAGATAAAGTCTTTATACTTTATTGTCGAATTTCTGCAGTGGGACTCGAATCCACAACCTTCTGACTCAGAGGTAACAATGTTGTCACTGAGAGTCAACAGTGGCATTCATTCACCACATTGATAGTTGTCACTGCCTCAAATAAAATGTGGGATATTGAAGACCATTGAGAAGTGCCTAATTGAGGTAAGAATTGACTGAAGCTTCCTCTACACTTCCCTAACCTCAGCACAACGCGACTTATTCATTTCCCACCCAGCAAACCATTTTCAGCCTCTCCAAATCAGCTTAATGTCCAGTTAGAGTGACTGATATGTTGTGGGGTCTGAGTTACTGGTGCATGTATTTTATTTTTGCTGAGACTCTCACAGGCCAAAAGAAAAAAGAGTTGTGTCTCTTCAACGTGGGCTAGATGTGAACTCAGAAGTGAAAAGTCACAGTCTAAACCACAACACTCTTCTGATTTGGACTATTTCAGAATGCCATTCCTCCCACAACATAATTGGAAACTGATGAAGTTAAGGTGCAGACCAGCTAAACTATGATCTAATTGAATGGTGGAATAGGTTCAAGGGACTATTAGCCTCCATGTGTTTTCACGGCTCAGATCATTGCTATTGTAATGTCATTACTCACCAGGAGGGCACTTTGAGCAGCACTTGTTCAGCTTCAAGTACAGGGACCTGGTCTTGCAGCTGTTGCCTGACACAAGCTGAAAGCCCTGAGAAAGAAGCACAGTCACAGAATGAAAACCAGGAACCCGCATTTCCTTCCAACCCACTGGCCAGTCAAACACAGTTTCCACTCAGAAATCCAAGCCATTTTCCCGTGCATAAACTCAATGTCTTGCCACATTTCAATTCTGAAATATCTTAACTTGGCCGATAAAAAAGACACATCCCTGAATTCAGCAAATTGACGGGGTATGATTTATGGGAATGGAAACTGCATATCTCTCTAATTTCCCGAAACATCTCTCGACCTCTCTCTCCCACTTTAAAATGCCCTTAGAAACTCTGTCCTAATAGCCCCTTCATTGGCCTGGAGCCAAATTGTATCTGATTACAGTGCCATGATGTTTTAGAGGAAATGGTGGAGGCGGTTACAATTACAACATTTAAAAGGCATCTGGACAGATACATGAATAGGAAGGGTTTAGAGGGATATGGGCCAAATGCTGACAAATGGGACCAGATTAATTTAGGATATTTGGTTGGCATGGACGAGTTGGACCAAAGGGTCTGTTTCCATGATGTACAACTCTATGATTGTAAAGGTGCTACCTACTGTTGACATGAGTTGGAATGAAATCTTTGCAAGCTAGCATGTTCCTGTCCTTTCCAGAACACTCCCAATTTCGCCTCCCCCTCCTGCTGCCCTGATAACATGTAGTTCTGCCTGTCACCATTCTTCTTAATTTGCACAAACTCAAACACAAATTCACTCCCTTCCTTCTCCCCAGTGAGAACTGATTGTTAATGGTCATTGGTATGTGTAGCCCTAACTAATGGTCAGAGGACCTCCTGGTCAAGGCAGCAATGCAGCTGAATGTGGATCTGCCCTCTCGCAGGGTCGGCAGTGGGTCACTTTCCAGTGGGTGTAACAGAAAGACACTGCTCCCTTCAACCCACCTCCTCTTCTGTCTAGGTCAACACCCCTAATGCCAACGATAGTGGAACTAATTGAGATCAGCAAACTCAGCTCAAAACAATGCACAACAGAAAAAAACAGCGCTGGACTCTTCTTGTCAATTACAAGAAACACAGCCTATTTTCTGAGGACTAATCACATCACCATGAATCACCGGGCTTTCCCTGTCAAGGCAAATTTCAAAAAAACAGGAATCACATTCGTGAGAAAATTTCTGACTCCAGAAATCCAAAATGTTTTCAAAGTTCAGACAACCGACAGGGAAACAATGATTTCCTTGTAACTGAAAAATCCCAAATGCGTTTCAGAGCTGACACTTGAAATCACAACTGCACATTGGGTTAATTCAGGCTACAGAGATCAGTCACTACAGCTTTCAGGTCTTTGCTTGACTGCCTTCAGAAATGAGAGTGGAATTTCCCTGACTATCCCATTTTGTTAAACTGGCCCAAAGTTGTCTGTTTTCTGTTTCTTTTTAATCCCGTCGGGGGGTTTGCGTGAGTGAAAAGGGAAGAAGGGGCTTATGGCTTATGGCGAGAGGGCAGATCCACATTCACCTAGCCCCACCAACGTTTATACACATGCACTTTCCATCAGCTTTCATTGGATAGCAGGCAGGTGGGCATGCTTAGCTCTCCATGGCCATATTGCATGGAGATCAACTATAACACCTTAGCTTTACAAAAACCAGCAAGACCAGACAAGGCATTTACAACGGTACATCCAGCCTATAGGGCTCAGATCTATTATTGTTAATACCTGACCACAGTCTTTTTTTATTCATTCATGGAAATGTGAGCATCGCTGGTTGGGCCAGCATTTCTTGCCCTTCCCTAGTTGCCCTTGAGAAGGTGGTGGTGAGCTGCCTTCTTGAACCTCTGCAGCCCATAAACCGTAGGAAGACTCACAATGCTGTTAGGGCGGAATTCCACAATTTTGATCCAGTGACACTGAAGCATTGGTAATACATTTCCAAATCCAACACCTAATGACTGGTTAAAATTCTGGATACATACAACGTCCGCACCACAGGGATACTATGAGTCCATGATGAATGCATCACAAAACCAAGGTCTCAAATTCATACTTTCCTGTTCTTTCCTCCATATCCTGCAAACTTTTCCTTTTCAGTTATTGCCCAATTTTCTTTGGGAATTTGCCTTCCAGCCAATAAGAAAGAAACAACTCTCTTAGGTGATTTTTGATAACCAATACCCATTCCGAATGTTTTCTGCCAGGAGGATATTGGTTGAAAATGCTTTAATGCCTGAGCAAGGTGCAGAATGAAGTGGCTTCAGTGAGAGCCACAATCAAATAAGGAAGAACAAGAAAATAGTCTTTTCATTTGGTTTGGGCTCTTGATGGTGGCACACAATAACATTCATCATCAAAATGCTCAGTATTATTTCTTTCACTTGAAGTGGCGTGGGTCACTTCATGGTGTGGTGCAGCCTGGATTTTACGTTAAAGTTTCTAGTCTGTGACTATGAATGTACAATCTTCCGACACTGAGGAGAGTGCTAACTGAACCATGACCAACATCTGATGGCTGCATGGACCCTGAAACTATCCAATGGCAATCGAAGGTGACACGAGCAGGAAAAGAGGGAAGAAAGTGAGAGCAAACACAAGCAATGTAAATATTACGGAAAAAGTAAATTGTGAGCAGCTTCCTAAGCATTTCAAATTAATGATTAAAATGAGGTTTCTCACAGAATTCTGCTCTTTAGGTGTAGTTCATTTTAACTTTAAAATGCAGCGTTAAAATAACCCCATTCTGATCATCCACACAAATAACCCCATTCTGATCATCCACTGCTCAAATGTATCTGTTACGATTTTTGCTGTTAGTCAACACTTTTCTCACAATAACCTCTTACTGAAAACATTGCGGTCATTGTGCTCTGTAAAAGCTGTAATCCACTGGAAAAATGCTTTTCTACTTAATACAATGAATAGTGATGCTGTACTCTGTATCGGAGAGAGACCTCTCAAGTTGTTTATAATAAAAGAAATCGAAATATGCTTGTAACACCCTTAGTGTTAAGAGTAATTTTCACAGTCTTTAACACGTAAATCAAAGTGAGAATCTGTCAGCTACACAACTGCATTTGACTGAATACTGAATATAGCAAAGTCACTCCAAAGTTAAAGACTCGAGTGTGCCATAGTGAGCAATTTGCTTCATATGAATGAATTAGGGCTAACAGCGTTATAATATGATACAGGACCTCCAAGTCTACTTTCAAGACTAGAATACTTTGGTGAAGACTGTTTACTGATTGCCACAAGTTTTACATCACCAATCTCTAAACAGTCACCTGGTATGGCCTGGCTCTTCTTTATATTTACATCTTAGTATAATTATCGAGTTAAAACCCAACATCCATTTACCTTGTTACCTTCAACTACTAGGTATTTAACATCATTCAACAGAACTTATTAATCTCCATTTTGTCCATTTGAAGGGGGATGAAAAGTATTCTCTAAATGTCAGTCTATGTCAAGGAGCCAACAGCACAGAAATCTGATTTCCAGCATCCACTGTTCTTTGTTTTTGTTTGTTTAGCACAGAAATCAACCCTAACTTTAAACCATTTGGCACCAAACAGTACAGATTGTTCTGCCGATATATTGCTGAATGTCTCTTAGTAATGCCTGCAAAAAACTCATTTTCTCATGAAAAATGGAGGGGAAAGACAGAAACATTCCCACAGCTGACAAATAAATCACATCTGTCTTGTCAGCATGTGTACTGTACATAGAACATAGAACATAGAACATTACAGCGCAGTACAGGCCCTTCGGCCCTCGATGTTGCACCGACCTGTGAAACCAATCTGAAGCCCATCTAACCTACACTGTTGATGACACCTTCCCATGCCATGGTAATTTCATAAATCTAAGCACTTTCAAATCCGGACAATATTTTTGTCAAGAAAAAAAATTAAAGATAGCATAATAATAACTTTCTTAAAGGGGACTTGGTTTTTCATCAGGTATTATAGTCGGGATTAAAATTATAAAACTTCCTTTTGCAACGTAATGATGATTCTGTGAATCTGCAGCTTGTGAGTCTTTTTATTGTTACTTTCACATTGATAGTAGTGTTCCCATAGAGTAAATAGGGAGAAATTATTGCCACATGCCGGACGGTCAAAAATCAATATAGGTGATTAGCAAAACAAAGGGGAATTTTGTTTTAATGCATTGAGTATTTATGATAAAGGCTACTTAACTCATTAACCTCTGACATAAATGTATGTAACCTGATAACAGGTGTCTGAGTGAACCGATGTCACATGAAATCACACGACACCAGGTAATAGTCCAACAAGTTCACATTCCTTCTTCAGGACTGAGGCTCCGAAAGCTTGTGTTTTCAAAGAAACCTGTTGGACTATAACTTGGTGTCGTGTGATTTCTGACTTTGTCCACCCCAGTCCAACACTGGCACCTCCACATCACGAACTGATGTCAATTGAGGATTCACTATTGTTCAGGACTCCAGGAAGACTCACCTGCTCTACTCTGAACAGTACTTGAGGGGTTTGACAGGGTGTCTGTTCAAAATCTCCACTAAATCACAGCCACAATGACACACTCACTCAGGAGTACATTCAAGTTTTGAAGTGGGACAAGTTCCAGTGTGGGAGTGAAACTTTATCACCACAACCCTCTGATTCAGAGGTGAGGATGCAATGAATGAATTTAGATTTTGTACAGTGTAAGATCCCACAAAATAGCATTGTAACAAGAGACTAGTTGAATGATGTTTTTTGGTGATATTAGAAGGAGTGGGAGAGCCCAATGCCCTTCTTCCAACGGTGCTGTGAGATGCTTAACCTGAATCGGGACCTTGGTTTAAGATCTCCTTAATTAATGCAATATATCTTTCAGTAGCAACTTGAATTAGAAACTTAAACTCATGATGAATTCAAAAATCTCTGAGCTAAATTTGCACAACCTGATAACAACTGTCTGGGTGAACTGATGAGGAAATGCTCACGCCGAGCCTGCACTCCTGAATTCTAGATAAAGTATTTTTCACCCCCTGCAAACTTAGTGCAA